TTGCATAGATTTTTTCTCAGATGCCTGTGACCGGTCCTATCACTCCTCTGAGTTTAGCCCTCTCCAGTTGCAGCAGAGATTTTGCCAGTCTTGGTGAGGGGGTCATCATAAGTTTACTATGTCGAGCATAAACCGCTAAAGTTTATCCACTTCTCCTTTTATTTTGTTTGGATCCAATCTGCGTTCCAATTGTGTGACTTTCATAATTTTATGGACCTTCCGCTGAAGACGAAGATTTTAAATAACAGTTTGCTTGGGTCTGTTCAGTGACTCGAACTTCATACGTTATTTAGTTATAACATAAGCCACTGGTTAGTTGTTCACGTTTCTTTGTAATGTAAATTTAATAATTTCTAACTTGATGCATGTTAAACCTTATTCTAAATCCCTTAATATTAATTTCCTGGTATAACAAAGCGAGACGCGCCTCAATTTAATTTTAATACTATTTTTAATATTATCTTTGTAATTTATTGAAGTCGTGAACAAAAAGACTTTCGCACAAAACCATGACATCATAAGAATAGCACATTTTATGTGAGTATGGAATACTTGGTTCAAAATTGATATTTATATCTTAAATTGTATTTTTTCCAATCAACATATGTTTTGTGATTTACCCAGCCGTGAAGATGACCCGAATAAAGGTCGAAATATCGGCAAAAAAATAAAAAAGGCGTTTTTCTAAACTACCTCATTCTTGACAGTTCCTCCCGACTTCAACAAATTATGAAATAATAGTTCACTAAGAAACACACATTATCTTTGTAGTAATGCGATTTCTTGAGTTGTGCGTGATATGGTAGTTTCCACTTTTTCTGATGAGTCTTTTCTAGATATTTTTTGCTATGGCAGACGAGTTTGCATTTCGCCATCTTCCGTGTCTGCTATTGCGTACGAACCCGACATACTGAAGACTTACAAATGGGCTTTTTTTTCAAAAACTTCGGCACCCCGAGGGTTCATATAACCTCGTAGTTCAGGGAAAAAAGTGTCTGTTATTCTTCCAATTTCATAACTTTGCGTACACCACTGAAGAAGACGTCTGATCAAATTATCTTTTAAGTGTATAATTGCAAATTTACATCGCTTCATTTATACTAGCTTTTTTTAACTTTACACAACTAGTTAATAGTAAATAATAATGAAAAAGCCAAGGCCGGAAAAAGGTAAAGACAATTAAAAAATTAAACGCACCAAATTAATAGGCGTTTGCCAACATTATGCCGTTCTAGATAAAACGAAATGAAGAAAAATCAAGTGAGAATTACGTTACTACGAGCTATAATTAAACTTCGTTAATCTCCTTATTGGATCTAAACTAATTTTACCCCCTTTTGATATCAGATCAAGTAATGCTCGACAAATATCACCTTTTACTCGGATTATGAAACGGTACATATATTATCAAGATTCGCCATATTTTATAATTTACCGGTCATTCATACTTCATTAGGTACAAGATGTGTAAATTTCATTTATTCTATTGCAAATAAGATTTACAGGTTGTACGTACAACAGTACAACTGTGGAACAAATGTTTAGGACCTTTCCCACGCAGTGACCTCCTGCGCTGGTTTCTGCACGTTAATGTTTGTAACTGTGAGTCATTCGGGGCTTCACACCTCCGGCTTTTGATCTAACCTGACCATCGGACGACCTTTCAGTTAAACGTCAAAACGGGCGGACTTGTGACTAGAAAATCGCACAATGCCGTTTCACAACGTTCAACTGCTTTCCAACTGGCAAATCAAACGTAGCCTTGCGTCATTAATCTACTGATTATTTATGCCCGTGTTTTTTATCGTATTCCTTGCTGGCCTAGGGTTACTTCTGAAATGCTCCAAGCAATCTTTCAAAATTAAAACCTGTTGAAAGAATTTTTCAATAATAGTTCGCTTGGGTTCAGAATTGACATATCTTCAGAAAAATTGCCTCTGGCTTTATATTTTCTTTGTTTAAAACAAGGCCTTGGTTATTGGTCCACGTTTATTTGTAATGTAAACCTATTAAATAAATTATAATAAACAATATGTTACAACGAAGGTCTAAAATTTTTTTCTTGTTTGCGATTATCTCCAATTGCAATCAAAATTGATTTTGGTTCAGCAGAATGGGTTTGTCAAATAATGTACAGAAATGTGTTTCTTAGTGACCTGTTGTTTCATAATTTATTGAAGTCGTGAGGAACGGTCAAGAATGAGGTAGTTTAGAAGAAAAAAACACCTTTTTCATTTTTTTGCCGTCGTTCGACCTTTATTCGGGTCATCTTCAGGGCCTGGGTAAATTACAAGCCCAGTATATTTACATATTAAATTGTATTTTTTCCAATTTTTGTAATTTACCCAGGCCCTGAAGATGACCCGAATAAAGGTCGAAACGACGGCAAAAAATGAAAAAGGTTAATTCTAAACTACCTCATTCTTGACCGCCCCTCACGACTTCAACAAATAATGTTCAGAAAATTTAAAAAAATGACATTGCTGTTTTTAAGTTTCTGTACATTATTTGACCAATTGTTTCTACTGGACCAAAAACCGTTTTATGTGGAGCTAATTATAACCAAGAAAATTCTTGTATATCTATAGTTGTTAAATGTTGGATGTAAATAAAATTCATTCTATAAAATTTATGTTGAGCAAATTTAAATATATCTCCCTGTTTTATTATATAAAAACAAACAATATCACAAAAAATAGTTAAGGTGGAGCGAGTATATAAATTCATTAGTTGAAAACGATGGTTCTACTCGCAGTTTCTGCAGTTTGTGAGTAGAACAACGTTTTCAACCAATAAACTAACACCATGTATGTTAAAGGAAAATTGTCCTTTTTGAATTCTGTCCAATTTGACCAATCTATCCTGTTGAACTAAAAACCATTTTGCCTGGAGCTACGATACGAAGAAATTCTTGTACACCTACAGTCGTAAAATGAAATATTAAAAAGATATATAATAGAAAATTTCTATTTACCAAATTTAAATCAAATATCTTCGTGTTTTATTATCAAAAAACAAACTAATGTCACAAAAATAATTAAGCAGAAATCGTGAGATGCGGTCTGGTGTGATGTAGGTTTCAGAAAAACATTTTCTTTATCGTGCCAACGTTTCGATCTTTATTGAGATCATCTTCAGAGAAATTGGGATGTAAGACCGATGTAAGTNGTAGGTTTCAGAAAAACATTTTCTTTATCGTGCCAACGTTTCGATCTTTATTGAGATCATCTTCAGGGCTCAAAGTGTTTGTTTTCTGTGTAATTGTGCCATTTTTGCGTGTCGTGTTGAGAGAATGAGACTAATCACAAAATAATTAAGGTGGAGCGAGTATATGAATTCATTGGTAGAAAACAATGGTTTAGCTCACAAATAGTTTCTGCTGTTTGTGAGTAGAACATGAACATGTTAACAACATCGTTTTCAACCAATAAAGTGATGTCATGTATGATAAAAACGTCTTTTTTAATTTTCTGACCATTATTTGACAAACCCATCCTGCTAACCAAGAACCATTTTGAATAATGATAATTCCAAACAAGAAATTGTTACATACCTACAGTCGTAAAATGTTGAGAATCAATAAAATTTACTCTGGAAAATGTATATTTACCAAATTTAAATATAATATAATCCAATTTGATTATCAAAAAATAAACCAATGTCACAAAAATAGTTATGATGGGGGGTATATGAATTCATTGGTCGAAAATATAATTCTACTCACAATGAGTTTCGGCAGTTAGTTTATTAGTTGTAAACGATAATTCCACTCACAAACTGCAGAAACTGTTTGTGAGTAGAATCATCGTTTACAACCGATTAATTGCCGAAACTGTTTGTGAGTAGAACCATGTTTTGATAAAAACTACATTGTCCTTTTTACTTTTCTGTCCATTACTTAACAAACCCATTCTGCTGAACCAAAAACTATTTTGCATGGAGATAATTCAAAACAAGGAAATCCTACAGTTGTAAAATGTTGAATGTATTTGAATATATGTCCCAGTTTTATTACCTAAAAATAAACTAATAATAATAAAATACAATAAATCTCGATTGTTTAGGAAAATTAAGGAGTAAAATGAGCAAACGATATCATCTAAATACACTATCTGCAGTACTTTAATATAAGTAAAGAATACTTTTTTTTATAATAGCCAATATTTTTAATTATTTGTGTAAAGAAATGAAGGCCCAACAAAATGCTAAAAAGAAATGGTCATGCTTTCCAACTAAAGCCGAAGATAGGCCAAGAAATTATAATCTCCCAAATCCCAATTGGCAACAGTTAATTCAAATTACAGGTTGTAAAATATAGTGGAAAATACCCAACGATTGAAATTTAAAGTAGTATGCAAAAAAGGGTTCAAACTCAAAAGGCCAATGGACTGCTTGACCCAACTCAAAATAGTGGATATGTACACTTTTCCTCCTTTCTCACTGTCTCTATCTACCTATAGAATATATATTTGTATACTCTCATTTGTTGTTTGTTGACGATTGGAATTTATATGAACGGTGTAAAAACGCTTTAGGCGGATTGTCCAGCTTTGCGCTTCCCTCATGAATCCCAGATTCATGTTAATGAGTTTTTAACTTGTCCTTAAAAAGTAAATTTGTATTTTTTTCTGAACAAAACAATAAATTATCCTGTCAGCGGTTCGATCAGGATTATCATTTCTGGATGGAATACACCCACTAATAACACAAATTCTGACATGAATTGGAAACAGGGAAGGCTGGGTGGTCTCTTGTCAACTGTCATCATTACTGATAACCCAAGAGCTAGTCAAATGAGCGTTGTACTGGTGAACAATAGACGTAAAATAGATTCGATTGTTAGTCTGAAACTAGTCATATGAAGCCGTCGTTGAATAAAAAAAACACTAATTAAAACCACACAGTTAATTTTAGGAAAAGAACAGATAAATGCCGAAACAAAAAACAACGCTATTTGGCCTTTTAGATGTGTAACTCAATATTGCAGAAGACCAACTCACCTCAATTGGAGGCCATAGTTCCAAACACAAGTATAAATCACAGAAACTTGACAAAAAAATGACTTTTTTAGATTTGTTTGTTTTTTGTACAAAACAAAACTGGATTAGTACTCTCAAAGGACACCTGTTGGATTCCAACACCTGACTGATACAAGTTAAAACTGTGGAGAACAACTTGGCAGCCCCCACCAACTTATAATTCTACTTCTACAGGACAGCAGCACCAGTCAAACTCAGCCCAGTAAATGCTAGAACAAGTTACTCAACGAACTCACAGCTTAAAATTTTGATTTCTTCTAAAAATATTAAAATAGTTGAACAGACCATCAGAAATGAAATTTCTGACCAATAAAAATATTGTGTATCCCACTACAAATTGTGTTAAAAATACGTTTAATTGCTTTTAATACTAGTAATATCATAAGCATATAAAAACCTAATAATAAAAAATTAAATTGTGATTTTGGTACTTGCTGGACAGAAGAATTCAAAATTCAAATATAAAATAGTGTATTTGCTTTTTTAAAAAGCACTCTTCGCTAGCAGATCTATCGGTCATGGGTTCGATTCCTACCATCTCCCCTGGAATTTTCTTTCAAGCTCGCCCCTTCCCTCTAAAATATATGATATTCTTCAAACGTACTCTGCTTTGGCTACTATGTAAATCTTTAAAAAAGCTGAAAACAACTGAATGCAGAAAATTAAATTTAACGAATCTATATAAGTTCCAATGTTTATAAGTATTTATATCTACTTATATTTGATAATGTGCTCAAAGTTTTTTTAAATTACACTCTTTATGTATTAAAATTGAAAAATGTATAATTTGTAATATAAGCTGTCAAATTTTATTAATTTGTTGATATTAGCTTCAAATTAATCAAATATAAATTAAATTAAACCATTCTTACATGAATATATTAATTGTTAAAATTATATTTATATATTTATCTGATAGCATTTCTTACTTTTAAAAAAACAAATACAATTTTATGTATTCAGATTTATCATGTTTAACAACTATATTTTTTTATGTTATACCAGGTTAAACACACTGATAAAAAATATTTTAATTTAGTTTTGCGTAATAACATTTTTACAATTTGCAAAGGCACCTTGCTACAAAGCTTGTGTATACTCCATTCGTTCTGTACTCTCTTTCTTTCAGATTTGCTTTTCTTACTGCTATTTCTTTTTGCTTTTCTCTTCATTTTGCTTTGCTAATTCTTCCTGCTTCTTGAGCTTACATGGACATTCTTTATAAAATAAAGCCCTGTTCACCTGATTTGCTATATCATTGTAATATTTGGCTGGTAGACCCACTGAATACCAGAATACAGTAAAGACCAATTTGTCCCAGAATGTCAAAAGGTTATATTTTATTTTGTCTACTTGGAAAAATCCTATTTTATGCCCCTAAAATAATAATATATTATACAAATTATTTTGAAATAAAAGGTCAATAATAATAGTTTACCTTGAACTGCTCTTTGCTGCCAGACAACCGTAATATTAAGTTGCTAATCGACGTCACCAGCTCAGCAGATGCATCAGCACTACCCCAAAACTCACCAGCATTTGCTAGTTGAAATAAAAAATAGAGTACATAAAATTTTCCAACAAGTTTTAGTAATGCCTGTAGTCTTTCAGCTTTGGTCGGGCAAATTGGACAAGGAGGACAAATACATGGCAAAGCAGGGTGTATAAAATCAATCGGTGGTGCCTGGCATATCTAAAAATAAAATATAACAATCACAGGTTAGTTGTTTACTGATTTTTTCTAAAAACTTTACAGAATATTTATTTTTTATTTATTTAATTTTATTATAAAATAAATAAAAATAAGTAATGTATTTACTTTTTTATTTTTAAAATCCACATGAAAATGTTTTCTGGCATCAACAACTTTAAAAGAATATTTATTTATTTTAGTGTTAAATTTATTTTATAACAAATATTTTGCATTACCTTTATTATTTATTAAAAATATTCTTTTCCACAAGTTGAGTCATATTTCAGGTAACTGATTCTTATATATATTTTTTTTAAATATTAAGATCATTATAATGCATAATGCAATATATCTTAAATATTAATTTGTGACAAACAACATTGTTGCACAAAAGATGCTGGTACTACTGGGGATAATTTTATGACAACATAAATAATGATGACTGTAATTTTAAATGTTAGTTAAAATTTAAAAAGAGAACGTTACAAGTTTTCATCTCGTCAATTTTGTTCATACTGCTGCTATCCTTCTTTTAATTATAAAAAATCAATATAATTTTATATAACTTGGCAATTTGAAAGAAAATAATGCAGGTTTGTTTCTAAAATCATGATATCCAACATAAAAAATACGCTTCTAATCTAACTCTAATTCATTTTGACAAGACTGTTAAAATTTCTTTAAAAGTGGAATTGCTAATGCTCATACAGCTTTTTTTAAATTTTATTTATTTATTTTGGTATTGACCTATTGTCCTCAGCCATGTGAATAATTGTTTAATTGGTCATTCACAGTAGTCACAAACTAAAACTAGTTCATTTTACAAAACCGACCAAACCCCATAAACACTGAAGTTTTTTGAATATATTAAAAATTTGTAATTATAAGGCTTTGCAATTTTGTATTGGTCTATCATATGGAAAAGTGTCTTTCTTTCTTTTTCAAATTTTTTGCAGTACCATACATGTTCCGCGTTTTCAACTTGGTTGTACACCGTACAAAGGTCACTGTCTTCCTGTCCAATCATGTGTAGATACAATGGTTTGAACGTAGTCAGCCTATTGTGGTAGTACTGAACCGCTCAAACCTTTATCTGGTGAACCAAGGTTGGTAACCAACCTTAGGGAAGATAGATTTATACCACTGTCCATTGGTTGAAGATCTGTATCTATTCTGCCACGCTTCAATTGATCTTTTTTATAACATTGATGACATCGTAACGTGATATTTTAAATTCTCTATCTATTACTGGTTTTTATGTAGCTGTCTCAGCCAGCTCATCAGCTTTCTCGTTTCCTGTCTATGAACAGTGACCTCTTCGCATAGGAATCTAATTTGTTTACATTTATTCTTGATATCGTTTAATTTGAAAATAATTTTAATCATCAATTCTGTACTGTAAGATTTAGAAAGTTTTGGAGTCGTGATACTGGTTAATGCAATTCTACAGTCAGAACAAATCAACACCTGATTGTCGCCGATAGATTCTGCGTATTCAAGAGCCTTAAGAATTGCGTACGATTCATATACAAGTTCAACATCTTATTTAGTTTATTTACTTTTGTCAATTTCTTGACTATGTGTGTCAATTCCACTGGTTTCTTTTCAACCTGGGATTCGATTCTCAGTTTAATGGCAAATGATTCAGCTGAGAACCAAGAAATAGCTTGTTAGTTGTGATATGCACATAGCAAATTATTTTTCATGTTTAGTGTTATTGCAAAATATACTAGAAGCTTTTCTTTTTTGTTTTCCTTCAACTCCCCTTCAATTTACAGTTAGATATGTGGCCAATTATTGTACTATAAATAATTCCAATCTTTTGCCCGTATTTAAGGTCTTTGGTTATCAGGTTACTCATATACATATAAGCAATATGTAAAAATCCTAGAAAAATCAAGTAGCAGCAAATTTAAGCTAGTATTTGAGTAAACACATTTAACTTGTGCTTATGTCACATCAATCCTCTTTATCCATATGCAGTGTACATTTTCTGTCTAATAATTCAAGGATATACTTTTGGGTTGTATCAAAGATCACTTGATCCATATACGATGTAGTTTTCTGTGTAATATTCCAAGGGTATACATATGGCTTGTGCTTATAACAGTCCACCGTATCAATACACTGTGTACATATTCTGGTTAATGTTCTGAGATTATACATTTGACATGTTTTTTTCACAACCCACCAGAAATGACTTTATGTAGTGAACATATTCTGGTTAAATTTCGAAGGTTATACATTTAGTCCGTGTTTGAATCACAGCCCACCAGATATGACTATACATAGAGTGGTTATTGTAGTCAATGCTCTGAAGTTATACATTTGGCCTGTGCTTGTATCGCAGTTCAACAGATATGGCCATATACATTGCATGTGTTCTGCTTAATGTTCCGAGTTTATGCATAGGCATGTAATTTTATCACAACCCATCAGATATGACTATTGCAAAACATATTCTGGTTAAATTTCTGAGGTTATACATGTCTGTGTTTGAATCACAGCCCACCACATATGACCATACATAGAGTACATATTGTGGTTAATGCTTCTTAGTTATACATTGGCCTGCGTTTGTATCACAGTCCACCAAATATGAGCATACATACAGTGATTAGTGCAGTCAATGCTCTGAAGTTATACATTTGGCCTGTGTTATTGCAGTTCAACAGATATGACCATACACATTGCACATGTTCTGGTTAATGTTCTGAGTTTATGCATAGACATGTAATTTTATCACAACCCATCAGATATGACTATAGCAAAATACATTCTGGTTAAATTTCTTAGGTTATACATTTAGTCTGTGTTTGAATCACAGCCCACCACATATGACCATACATAGAGTACATATTGTGGTTAATGCTTCTTAGTTATATATTGGCCTGTGTTTGAATCACAGTCCATCAGATATGAGCATACGTAGTGTAGTTACGGTTAATGTTCAGAAGTATACATTTCGCCTGTGCTTGTATTGCAGTCCACCAGATATGACCATATACAGTTCACACATTCTGGCTAATGTTCCATGGGTGTACATTGGCTTGTGCTCTTAGCCAATAGTGAGATATTTAATGTTTCTTTACTTGTTAGTATCGTGAGGTTTCTTCTTTGTGACATTTTTTAGGAGTGGGAAGGAAATCAAGATTCTTTTGGTCAATATTTATTTATATCACAATATATATTATATTTATACAATTAAGGATGGACAATAAGTAAATATATATTTATACCGAAGTCAACATAAACATTTTATTTTTTAATGAGATTGTTTTAACAAATCTTCTAGTAGTTTCAAGGTGTGGTTTGGCCCAGTAACCGAGTGGCCGACAACTCTTTGGTCATTGAAAATTTCAAAATCATTACCACCTTCTTGTGTTTTGTCGCCGAAGAAATAAATAGTGTCAAACTGCTCAAGGAATTGCAAGCAGTAAGTCTTGTCCCATCCAACTGGAAATACATCGAGGCTTATCTGTCCCCCGATAGAAAATTTAAGATCGTAATCTGAAAATTCTTTTTCGAGCTCTTTTTTAAACTGATCCCGTATGTGATGTTCCTGATCGTAAAGATAAAATTCTTCTCTTTCTTTCTGGCTGCATGACCTCCCAACAGGAGAGACGTTGATGAGACCGGTCCTGTACTCGATGAACGTGCCTCGTTTCAAAGGTAACGTCACATTGGACAAGTATCGAAGGCAGAAATTTATGAGAGCTTGGATCTTATCCTCTCCAACGTGTTTGGCAATACTGCTCTCGTTTATTATTTTCCCATCTTTCCTGGCGACTACACCGTTTTCAGAGAAAATATAATCGAAGTGCTTTACACCTTTTTCACCGCCCATCTGCTCCAAAATTTTCGAGTAGTCGGACCCGCCGACAAGACCGATAGTGAATTGGTTTTTTAACTTTTCCACAACAAAATTGAGAATATCGTCCTCGATGACTTGCCTCGGTTTCGTCAATGTGCCGTCCACGTCGAACAGACAAATTGCATTTTCCCTGCCCATGACTCAATAAAGGAAAACTAATTCAACGATCAACGAAATATACACATATCATACTACTGATAAGGTTTGAAAAAATAAAACTAGTCGGAAAGATGGAAAATTCCACATCATAAATGTGAAATCAACGATAAAATTGGAAATAGAACCTCCCTACTTGTATAGAGATAACACACTGCTGAAAACAATCGTTAATGTAATCGTCATTATATTCCTTTATCATTACATTCCTTTCTTATAAACTGCGGTCCTGCATTCGAATGCAACATACACACAAATAGACTTTTTTCCTAAAAAAACCGGCACCTCGAGTGTTCATATGACCGGTAGTTAAAACACCCTCGTAAAAAATTAATAAAATAAAACTTATAAAGCAGTTATTAATAAATAATTATTAATATATTATTTATTAGGGTTGTACTGGCTTATTAAAAATAAAATAATTGCTAACACAAAGAACAGTACATATACAATACACACATTCCCTCTCTCTCAGTATTTATCTATTTTTCTCACTCTACATATATTTAACTATCTCTTCTGTTTCTCTCCCTCTCTCTCTCACTCCCTCTCTCTCACTCTCTCTCTCTCACACTCTCTCTCTCTCTCTCTCTCTCTCTCTCTCTCACACACACACACACACACACACACACACACACACACACACACATTTACTCACTTCTACTTTGCCTGTCTGTCTCTTTCTTCCTAAACTCTTTCACCTCTCTTGTTACTATCTCGCTATCTATCTATTTATATATCGATTTATCTATACATTTATCCATCTCTATATGTACCTCTGATTCACTCTCTTTTGAAATTTTCCTGTTCTTTCGTTCTTTCCTTTTGTCCTTCTCTCTTTTTCCCATTCTCATTGACGAGCACAAACATAAGACGGTACATTTACTTGTCCAATAATAAATGTTTATTTGTCAGAGTCATACTGAGGTGTATATGAGCAATCCGCATGAAAATTTGCTGAAGATGGCGTAAGTGCGGTCGCAAAGACGTTTGAGGAATTGTTTAAAAAAAATATTGTTGTTAAAAGTTCACCAAGCTTACTTCCTACATCAGATTGAATAAAAGACAACCAAGGAGAAAAAATATGTAAAGATCGTTGTTTTACTGAACAGCCCGTTTTGTAAATCTCTGATACGAAATAGTTTAAGTACCTACCTATTTAGGTTAAATTGATCATAAAGCGCATGACGTCTGTTCATAACAGACTTATAACTTTTGTCACGGATAAGGGAGAACGGAAAGTTCATGGAGTCTTAAGGGATTTTCATTGCTTTCCGAGAGAATTCTTAAATGTCAGAGATGTGGATCACACACACACACACACACACACACACACACACACACACACACACACACACACACACACACACACACACACACACACACACACACCACACAATTTATTTATCTATCTCTTCTTATCTACATATCTCTTTCTACCTATCTGTCTGCTTTTTTTCCACACACACTATAATTTCTTCAGTTTTCTTTTGCATGTGCAATAGAAACTAAATAATTTGATGAGGTAAAAGTGAAACAACATTCAAATGTTATATATCAATTGTTTTATTAATGTATTAGAAAATTGATATGTAAATTTTCTTTCAAGTATGGTAATTTTTGTACTTTATAGACTGAAAAAGTATCACACTTTGTTTCTTCAGAATTTGTGTTCTGTTTATTGTTTTTAGATATCAAGAAATGTTTTGTTAAAGGAAATTTAAAATATTGTATGACATACCTGAATGGTCTTATACTTAATTAGTCTTGGAGGTGGTGGAATTGGATAGGGCGTCCTGCATTTTATATCCCTAGTTGCCACCGGCAGCTTCTGAAGCTTTGACTCTTGCAGCTTTAATGCCTGGATGGAAACCTTTGCCAAGTTGATTGTAGGACATTTGCATGCTGCCATCCTGACAGGAAATTTTGTATTTTAAGTTTTCATAATTAATATTTCAACATTGGAATTTATTTTATACAAAAGAATTTAAACTTTTTTTAAGGAACAAAAACTACATGTGTAGAACACATGTGGTTTGAAGTTTTTAGGGATAATTTGATCACAACACAGCAAGCAGCGTGAAAATTGTTTATGAACAGAATATTCTATTAAAACCTTTATTTAATATTTTTTAAACAACTCTGACGCAACGATGGTTGAAAGAATTATAATATAAAAGTGACTGCTTTAAGATAAAGTTAAAAATTATGTTTCTTCATTAAATTTAACTGAAGAGAAATAATTAGTACAGCTTTTTCAATTGATTTTTTTTATGATTAAAGAGTTAAAGAGGGATTGGATACTTTATGTGACATATACACTGCAATGCAATAAATACAAAAAAAAAAGTTGCAACGTTTTCTCATTTAAATAATTATTTTATGAATAATATATACATAACATATACAGACAGTATCGTTTTCAAAATTCGCTAAAATATCTAATAATATTTGGGACAGCGCATTTTTGAAAGATTTAGTGTTTCGCAATGAGGTCCCATTCCTGTTCTATCTGTAATTTTGGAGGGAATGGGGACCATGATTCAGCGACGGCCCAGAATGCTTTAAAACTACATCTATGATTTAACCCCTCTTTTCTGGTACGTCGCCCCACCATGCATGCCTGGCTTCTCGAGTGGCCTCGCCTTCATCAGTTCAGCCTTCAGGCTAACTTCGTTTCAGTTGGTTTGGATCCGCTTCGCTACGTCTATAACAGAAAATATTCGAAATGGAGCATTCCATCGGGAAGTCAATGTCGTTCAACAATCCCGTTTTCACCAGTTACCTCTTCTATTGCTCTCTTCTGGTGCTCAAAGTACTGATGATGGTCCCTTTGACGGCAAGGTGGCGATTTTCGAAAAAGGTGGGTGGCTTACACATTTTCAACAAACGTAAATGAATAATTCAATAATAATATTAGGATGCACAACTCGTAAGTACTGGCTGCTATTAAATTGTTTAAAAAAGAATGTGAAGAGAGAGGTTGATTCTCTTGGTTTTATTTAATCACGAAACGTTAAGCCTCTTGGACCTTTCTTACGCTCAACCTGAGTTATGGTAGTTTACATTATACGTTTATTATAATTTAGACTCCTTTGGTCTATTCAGTGTATTTTACAATTATAATTTGTAATTAAGAGAAAAAAAATTGTTTTGTTTTTACTAACGATTTCACAATATAATTTATATATTTTTTTTTTCTTTTTTCCTGTAAGTTTATAAATTCGTAGGACATAAGTATCAATAAAAAAAATAAAAAAGGTACATTGGTAGATGTTATTTATAGAGGTCAATCTTTATCTGTTTATCTAAATTACAATATGTATATGACAATTATATAACTAATATGCGAAAACAATTATTTTTTTACAGTGCATTCTTCTTCCTGAAAGTTTATTTTAATAATAAATATTTATTCATTAAATAATTTTTGTTTCGTTTTTTTAGTTTGAATTTACGCGATCTTGTTACATTTTTTTTTATCTCTGAAGGCAGCTCATTAAAAGATAATATACTTTTTATGATAAACCAATTTCTGTAAGATTTAGAGAGAGAGAGAGAGAGAGAGTAAGAGAGCGTATGTGTGTGTGATAGAGTGAGTAAGTAGGTGAGAAGAGAGAAAAAGAGCGTGTGAATGAGTGAGTGAGAAGAGAGAGAGAGAGAGTATGTGTATATGAGTAAGCAGGTGAGAGAGATTGAATGAGTGATAAGAGAGAGATTGTGTGAGAGAGTGAGATAGAGTGAGTAAACAGGTTAGAGAGAGTAGTAAATAAGGAGAGATAGAGAGAGTGTGAGTAAATAGGTGAGAGTGAGAGAGGGTGTAGAGTAAGTGGAAGAGAGTGAGTGAGAAGAGAGAGAGTGAGAGAGAGAGAGTGTGAGTGAGATAGATAGACTGAGTAAATAGGTGAGCGTGAGAGAGTGAGAATAGAGCGCGAGAGGGAGAAAGAGTGTATATATNTAGGCATGAGGGAGAGAGAGTAGTAAATAAGGAGAGATAGAGAGAGTGTGAGTAAATAGGTGAGAGTGAGAGAGGAGGGAGTAGAGTAAGTAGAAGAGAATGAGTGAGAAGAGAGAGAGGGTGAGTAAATGAGCGAGATAGATAGAGTAAGTTGATGTGTGTGAGTTTGGACAGAGGGAGTGAGTGAAAGAGAGGGACACACAGCGTACACAGCAATGTATATACTTGTTATATATAGATTTTCAAAATTTACCAAAGATCTAAAATCTTTTATTATTTAGTGTGTTTGGTGCATAACTACATAATGGTTATATAATTATTTTACTGGTTGGCAAGCATCTCATTAACATATTGTCCGTATCAAAAAATGTGGATATCTAGTCTTATCTTATGTAACGATTTATGTTGAAATTTAGTTTATCATGTGATTACAAACTTTGAATTTCATTCTAAATGTATGATGTCTATTATTTATATATTCGCTTTGGTCACTAAGGCAATATCTGTTAGAAACTTATAGTACAAAATATCAGTCGTTTTCAACCATTCACAATCATTGCTAAAGTATGTAAGAGAAAATTGTAATCATGGAACGTTTTCTGGGCGTAATGGAAAAGATATTCGAAGCACATATTCTTAAAAAAAAGTATTTTTATATTGTTTGTATTTCTTGGACAGTTATCACAGCTAAATTGTCATAAATTTATCACTTGCAAAAAACAAGAGAGATAACCGATATTGAATTAATAAATTATTTATAAAATTAGCCTTTGTAGCACAACTTGTTAGAATCTTATCTGACAAAATGGGTTCAATTCAATCATATTCGGTCGTCCATAGTCGTTTAGAATTGAAATTAAGAAAACAAAACTGGGGTTTTGTATAATTAACAAAATTGTCGAAATCATTGTTAGATAATTAAAGCGATGTATTCTGTCGAACTATTTCCCACTTTTAATGACTGCTTTTACCTTCATCCTTCATGAATTCTGCCAGTCATTCTGGCTAAATCGGTGGATTTTTACAGTGTTTATTTTCGAATGACGGACGGTTTTTCTTTTTAAATCGCATTTTAGTTGGGTTATTGGACAAAAAATTAAATCCTAAATTACAAATAACTTGGGCTTGTGGTTGTATCCTGTAGGCTAAATTCAAATTTATACTTTTCCCATCGAATTTGACCCTTTTTTATTTTCATATTAACCCCTTTCCCCATCGAATTAACCATTTTTACTTTCAAAAAATTCCAATTAACCGTTTATAACTTCAAATTAATTCTCTTTATTATACAATTGACCCATTTTAATTTAAAATTAACCCTTCCTTGCAAGCATAAAAAAATTAGATGATGTTTGAAATGTTAGTACGTAATGCAAAATTCCTGCATTTGAAAAAATTACACAAATAATTGCATATGAATGTTAATTGTAATGAAAATTTAAATTTATAAAATAAATAAAAATAAAGGATTCTTCTTTTAATTTGAGACTTTTTTAATAGAAAATATTTGAGCTCCTAAAACCCTTATGAAAATATTGATCACGACTAAAATTCAAAATTACACAAAATTAAATATAAAAATAAAGGATTCTTCTTTTAATTGGACAAGTAGTGGTCTTTAAGATCTCAATAATTTTTCAGTTTTTTCTCGGTAAAATTAACCCTTTTTAATTTCATATTAACCTTTTTTACCTTCCAATCAATTATTTTTAACTTCAAATTATCCCTTTCTTTAATTTTATATTATGTTAAAAGTTTAATTGTACTTTATTTTAATATGGTTTTCTAAGAGCTCTGTTATTTCATATTTTAAAAAAATTCTTTTTAATGTACAGATATAGCTTTTTTCCGTCAAATAAACCATTTTTAATTTCACATAAAACTTTTATTAATTTCTTTCTTTTTAACATAAAATTAACCATTTTTTAACTTCATATTAACTTTTATTTGTTTTATATTTACCATTTTTAACTTTAAATGAAGTTTTTTTAAAATTCCAAATTAACCTTTTTTCACGTAAAATTAACCCTTTTTAACTTCAAGTAACCTTTTTTATTTCAAATGAACCCTTTTAAACTTCAAATTAACCTTTTTTTTTTAAATTTCAAATTAACCCTTTTTAACATAAAATTAACCCTTTTTTAACTTCGTATTAACTTTTATTTAGTTCAAATGTACCCTTTTTAACTACAAATTAAGTGTTTTTTAATATTTCAAATTGACCCTTTTTCATGTACAATTAGCCCTTTTTAACTTCAAGTTACCCTTTTTTAATTTCAAATTAACCCTTTTTAACATAAAATAACCCTTTTTTAACTTCATATTAACTTTATTTAGTACAAATTAACCCTTTTTAACTTCATATTAACTTTTATTTAGTTCAAATTAACCCTTTTTAACTTCAAATTAAGTTTTTTTTAATATTTCAAATTAGCCCTTTTTCACGTACAATTAGCCCTTTTTAACTTCAAGTTAACCTTTTTTATTTCAAATTAACCCTTTTCAACTTCAAATTAACCTTTTATTTAAAGCATTAAAAACACTTAGGAGATGGTATGTTATATAGAAAATTGTTTAACGCTTCGCTTAACGAATCTTAGTCTGTGCTACTACGCACTAATTCTGTGCTTTATGTCGTCATATGAATTATGTTAATTATGTAAAACATAACTTCGTAACATTGTCATTTCGATGGTCTAGGTTTTTAGCAAATCTCTGTATCTTTATCTGTTTTGGTGTAGGTATTTGTGTTAATATTTTTATCTTTTTTTTTCAAAATGGCTTGTGCTGATTTGAATTACCATAATCCATATGATTTGCCTTCAAATGAGTGTAAAAATAAGGTCATAAGTCCAGTGTTGAAACTTTTCACTCGATTGAATTTCTTTCTTATTTTGTAATTTCTATTAGCTAAGGAATTCTTAATCTTAATCTTCATTGTTTTACCTTTGATTCTAGGTGTTCGCTAATCCCGAGGACACGAAACTCTCGCCGAAAAGCCAAGTAAAATTCGACGATCCTGATGTCGAGCGTGTCAGAAGGTGGGTTGTTTTGATTTAAATGATTTTTATTTCTTTTTATTAATAAGTTGAAAATTTGTTGAATTTCAGAGCCCACCTCAACGATTTGGAGAACATCCCAGTTTTCTTTGTAGCAGCTTATACGTACCTATTGACGAATCCGAACCCATGGTTGGCCATCACACTGATGAGGTCCTTCGTCCTGGCGAGATTCGCGCACACCCTCGTCTATGCGGTCGTCGTCGTGCCACAACCGGCGAGATTTCTTGCTTTTATGGTCGGCTACGGTATAACTGCTTATATGGCCGTTGTCTCTGCCCTTTCTTTTTGTAGTTAGAAAAGGTTTAAATGAAGCTTAACGACTTCTTTTACTCATTTGTTATAAATTTAGTTTTATTGCAAATTTTTAATAAATACTATAACAAAATATTGAGTTTTGTTTATTTCCTTAATATAAAGATACCCAAAAGATCCAAAATACAATATTCTAGAGGGAAACTGGACCATTCTCAACTTAATTTTAATAGCGAAAAACTAGATCTGCCATATGAAACCTTCGAGAATAAGCAGAAAAAATGACCAGTAACGATTTTAATGATGACACTATTTTAGAATTTCAATTATTGTTATTAATTTTTTTTTTGTATATTTATTTTTTTACGAGGGTACAGCAGAGGTCGTATACCCTCAGCGTGCCGGTGTTTTTGAAAAAGCCCATATGTAAATATGTCCAGCGGTCCTGCATTCGAACCCGGGACCTTTACCTTACAGTGATGAGCAACGTGTCAACGCCCAAACCGTTACGGCCCCGACGCTTTTTTTGAAATTAAAATTTTATTGAAATATTAATTTTTAGCAAAATCTTAATAAAATACCAAAAAAATATGCTCATGGTAGATTAACTTTTCAAAAACTTCATCAAGTCCGACAAAAGGGACGAACTGTCAAAATGTTTATACATTTCCAAAGGAAAGGCTTATGTCAATAATCTATTAGGTGTCTTTTTTCTGTTCAAAAAGTGAACGTTCTTGGCCATCCTATCCTCTGCGAGCTATTTTTGTCCCGGCAAGTTTGGGTGTTTCAAAGAGAAAGCTGTTCATTTTGAAAGATTTCACTTTTGGGACAATGTTGTTGGAACATTAAATTTAAACCTTAGGATTCGAAAGTTTCTGCAGGAAAGAGCAAAATTTGAATTGAAAAGATAAAAAAAAAAAAAAAAAATTAAACGAAAGTAGTTAACATTTTGTCGTTGTATTATACATGCACACATCGAAATCGCCACTTTATCTCACACACGAAAGACATATTTTTTTTCATTCCATTCAAGAAACAAGCGTGCTTCTCTCTCTCTCTCTCTCTCTCTCTCTCTCTCTCTCTCTCTCTCTCTCTCTCTCTCACTCTCACTCGCTCGCTCGCTCTTTCTATCTATCAAGGTAGCTATCTATCTATCTTTCTCTCTCTATCTGTTTTTATCTGTCTCTCTCTCTCTCTCNCTCTCTCTCTCTCTCTCTCTCTCTCTCTCTCTCTCTCTCTCTCTCTCTCTCTCTCTCTCTCTCTCTCCCCCCTCTTAATCTCTTTCTCTTTTTCGCTTTCTTTTCTCTCTCTCACTCACTACACATCCACTTTTTTATTCTTCTATGTATTTATCATCCTCTCACCCTCAAGACTTTTTTGTAAGTTTGTTCTAGCCAAAGTTCATAAACACAATTATTTACGGTACGTACTCATTTTCGTACCATATAAATTAAAATCAGTGATCAATTACAAAGGTATATCTTTTAAAATATAGGTTTTGTGAATTGAAAATTGAGAATAAGAGAAATACATATTACGTGACATGTAGAGTGTGACAAAAGTGTTTTGCGACCCCCATTTATTTTTATCTTCGTTGATAAATACAGTTGTAATAATCTAATGACTCTGTGGTGCCGACATTTTCTTCTAAGGCAATGAGAAGGCATATATGTATATTATCAGGGCCAGATCTCCTATGGTGGTGTCCCCCACCAAAATGGGCGGCTCAGTTAATTCCTATGCTGGTTTGGCGTTTTCACGCTTCAGAGTTCAGTCTTAAAGAGGGCTTACGACGTACAGTTGCTATTGCGTCGTTTTTTTTCTTTCTTTAATTTAATTTTAGCTTGTTTTGGACGGTTTGTTGGATTTGGAAAAATGGAAGACGTCGGTGACTTGATGACTTTTGACAACCCGGCTTTCATGTTTTACGTCTTCTCCTCTGCTGCCCTGGTCTTGAAGATGCTCATCCTCACCCCGCTCACGGCCAGGCAAAGATTTAAGAACAAAGTAAGCAAAATTTAATACGCTGACATCGTTCTAAAAATAAATGACACCGAGATTATTAAAATTAGGGCACATCAAAAAAATGCAATCTTGTGCAAAATAAAAATAAAAAACCCGAAAGCTGTTTATTATGCCTTCAAATGTGTCGTTAAATAAAATAATAAAAGAAGAAGAAATCATAATTTTAATTAAGCGAAAATTAAACTGAACACGTAAAATCAATTTTTTTAACAAACAAAATTTAAAAGATAAAGAAATTGATATTAATAAAATTATTATATTGGGTTGTCCGGAAAATAATGCAGGATTTTGGTATTAAACAAAAAAAAAGAAACTAGTTACTTTAAAGCAATGTTCTTTAATCAAAATAANAATGAGTAATCCTGTAAACGTAAACAGAATATTTTATATAGATTTTTTTTAATGAAAACTTAAAATCCTGCATTATTTTCCGGACAACCCAATACTATAAGAATATATTATACTATACTATAATACATTGTATATAAAATTATATATAGTATAGCTAATCAATATAGTTTATACAATTAAACCATGATTAATCAGCTTCATGGTTTTTAATTTAAAAAAATAAAAAATATTAAAAGAGGAGGGTTGAGGTCATCTAACAAAAAACTAGTTTAACAGCTTCATTAAACAATCGTACTTACATACGTACATCGTCATCATCAGGTAGAACAAACAACTTAAATAAAACAAGTTTAATATTTACTTCAGCCCTACTGTTTGAACCAGTCTTTTTAAAATTCAAGCCAAATGTTAAAATTGTTACACTGATCGTTTGCCCCCATCCTGATGGATGATATAACCAGAGAAAGCTTAAACTGGTTTTTAGTTTGACTTATTCAATATTTCACTGAGGGGTTTATTTTTAAAACGATAGACAGGCTTGTATAGGATTTTAGATACGTTCTACGAGGATTTGATTTAAATAAAACATCTCCGGATCGATAGCTTAGTTCAAGTTCACGCTTTATGGCGCGCCTAAGTAATTTTTATTATTATTAAAACAATTTAGTAGTACTTTAATCATAGTATTTAATCTGTAAATAAACGAGGAAAGCGAAATCTTACTAACAACATTAAGTGGACTTGACCCTAAGTAAGGCATTGGAGAACTTTGAATTCAACTGCTGTTCCCAACTACAGCTGGATAAACTAGTTGGATTGGACGTATATTGTAGAGGGCCTTTTCCTCCCCGACGACAAATATAGTCAAAGCTTAACTATTTTACAATATAACCATTCCGATAAAAACCTAATCAATCTCACTAACTACTTATAAAAATCAAAATACAAATCTAAAGATTGGAGTACGACGAACGAAACTCAATTAACTACTGCAAATAACATCGGTGGACAAACAGGCCGAATTTGGCCGTAGGAGGCCTTTTCCTCTTCAAAATTTATACACTGTCAATATTTAAGTATTATAAAAATAAACCATCACAATAAAAATCTGATCAATCTCACTATTTATAAAAATCAAAATACAAACCCAAAGATTGGAGTATGACGAACGAAACTCAATTAAACCACTGTTCCCAACTAAATTAAATCTGTGGATAAACAGGCCGAATTTTGCCGTAGGAGGCCTTTTCCTCTTCGAAATTTATATACTGTCCGTATTTAACTATTATAAAAATGAACCATCACGATAAAAATCTAATAAATCTATCTAAAAATCAAAAGAAAACCCAAGGAACAGAACTGTCAATTCAATTACTGTTCCCAACCAATTTGACCTCAAGGAAAACGTGCTAAGTTGTGCCAAAAGAAGAATTTTTCTTTTCCTGGCGACCAAAATGAAAAGTAAAAAAACTAAATAACTAAATTGGTATTTAAATGTTTTTACAAAATATCACTGAAAGAAAAAAGAAACTCAGGAATATTGAACCAAATATTTTTTTGTTTGTTTTTGTTTTCCTCCATGGTATCATTTTATTTACATATATTAAATGGTTTTAAAGATGGCGCAAAAATATATATTATACTAAATTTATTACTAAAAATTAACAATGTTTTAACGAGTTCACACAGTAAATTCAATTGTGCAAAACATTCTAAAATTCTATATTTTTCTGACGATGACGCCTTAATCGTTTTAAAAAAGTTAAATCTATTTATAAATTGTAGATCTTGTTTTCAATCTGAAATGTATACGATAAAAAAATAAACAGATATCTTTTAATGACATGTGTCTAAATTTAAGACAGATTCTTTGTGTGGGAGGGTTGTTAATTTTTAAATGATAATCCATTTAAAACAAGACATTTAAGAAAAAAAATTCAAAACTTTTCTACATTTTTAGACTTATAACTTGAAATAAGTTCATTTCAAAGAAATCTTACATTTATTTTAAAAACTTATTAACCAAGTACTTAACTACAATATAATCTTATATTGTATTGATGAGGACATAAAAATCGTAATATATAAGCTTGCATAAAAAATAATATATTTAAGACAAAATTTCACCCTCTTGTATACGAAATATTCTAATAAAAAAATTACAAACTAATTTTTATAAATGATTGTACATCGTTGTGAGGACAGTGGGGGATGAACCTGTGTTTGATTGCCCCAAATCCTCCTTTCTGTATGTTCTAGATGGTCGCACAGATCTTCAGAAGTTGGTCGATGTGTTAATTTGCCTTCTCTGTCTTTTAGCCTGTTAACAATACCTTCCACCTCCAACAGTAAAATCAAACTAAAGATTTAACATCCAAGTGGTCTCACCATCATTAAATATTTGATCTTAAACTAAGTAATTAGGATAATGCCAGTGCCAGGACACTAAGAGATTGAAGGTATCAAATAGGATGACAAACTAGCAAGCAGGAGCAGACCTCACACCTTTTTGGAACCAGCCAATTGGTCCCAAAGAATGCTAAAAGAAAACTGAACAAATGGATGGAGAAAGAAATGACACAGACTGGATGAATTCACCAAGTGCACAACAATCAAAGACATTCTTTAATGTCTTAACCAGGAAAACAAAGATCTCTTTCAGAAGGCAACAAATTAAAGAAAATAATAGGCCTTTATGCTGGCCATTGCTCATTTTATTACAATTAAAAAAATGGAAAAACAGACAGGAACTTGCCAATCTGCTGTAAAACCCAGACATTGGAACATGTAGAGTGCAAAGCATTTGCCCAAAAATGGTACAGCTACATTGAACAGGCTTATGTTAAGTGTGCTCAAAGGTGGCGCACTTTTTGGGGTATGACAATAAAACAGTCAACAGAAAAGAAGAAAGGGACTATAGTCAACAGTGACCCCGGGAAAAGACAAAAAATATTAATTAGAAGTAAATGAGAATTTTGAGCCAAATAATCTTTTAGGAGTAAAGCATTATTTTATTACACTGTCATCAAACTGAGAGAGAGGGGAAAGTTATCTCTTCGTCAAATTTGATATACACATGTAAATTATATTGTGTAAAACTTTTTTGAAAAATAATTTTGATTTTTAAAGGACTGGGTTACACAACTCCCGCAGATCAAATTTTACGTCTAAATCTGGTTTATTTATTTATTTTTTACTTATGTATTAAGTACACACCATTACAGTTGTTGGCAATAAAAACTGTCATGATCCATCAATATTGTCTTTCGTTTCTACAAGACAAGCGAAAACACAAAACTTTAAAAATCCAGCGCACTACCCCTTTTTGAGTTGTGACACTTTTATTGCATATATTGGCTCTTACTAATTTAAGTTAAGTTTGTTTACTCTAACGATAATGGTGGTCAATGAATGACTGTAAGGGTATTAATTTTTTTGGTAACAGACAACTTACAAACTTAACAAATGATCACAAATATCCATATAGTAAGTCTTGCTAAGATTATTTTTTACCCTTTTTTTCCAAGGAGTATTGAATAAAAAATGATAGAAAATGATCCAGTGTTCGTAATTCAAAAATGCACATAGTTAGTTCCTTCTAGCAGCTAAGAGTCCACCTGCAGTTGTTTCTTTTTTCCTGTAGCATCACACATCCGAATAATTAAAACAAACTAAATAATCCAGTTTTTTTAATATTTTGACTTGTGTCACTTTTCTTGTGGGTGTGCGATATGTTTTAATATTGACATAAATCTACTTTTCATCAGGTTTTTCTATCTCCGGAGGACACTTCCCTGCTCAAAGGTTCGAAAGTGGATGTGCACCCTGATGTGGAAAGAGTAAGAAGGTGAGGGAGGATACCATATCATCAATATTTTATAATTATTTAATTGATATTTAATATTATTTAAACAATTAACCACGTTATTTTGTAACAGGGCACATAGGAATGATTTGGAAAATGTGGTTTTTTTCCTTTCTATGGCTTTTTGCTATATTTTAACCAACCCAACCAAGTGGGTTGCCATCTTGGTACTAGCGGCTTTCACCGTCGCCAGATTCCTGCACACCTTCTTCTACCTGACTGCAAAGACAGCGAGAATGTACGCTTTCGCTGTCGGATATTTAGTGTTGGTTTACATGGCTGGCACTACTGTTATGCATTTTAGTTGAAATATAAAAATTTATTTTTTCTACGTCTAATTTTATCATTTATTTAAAAAAATCCTTTTTTTTAATCAGTTGATTAAGTGGTCAGTTTTATTAATATAAAACAATGGTATTTACTACATGCATGTATTTCTGGTACCTATACTTTTTTCTTTCAACTTTATACATTTATATTAAATTTTTACAGATAATGTTCACTAAATCAAATAAAATCTAGCAACCATAGAGGCAGAAAAATTAAAGCTAAAATTACAATTTTATGCCAACAATAAAGAAAATAAGTAAATATTTGTTTACATTATACATAAATCGACAGGTGGCCCTCAGAGGAACTAAATCGAAGAAGGATCATACTTACCAGACTAAGAATAATAGGCCATACTAGGTTTACACAGGGACACTTATTTTTAGGAGAAAGGTTGATTAATATGTCCCAGTTAAATGAAGGGGAGGGTCATTCCTTGGTTCGATATAGAGAGAGTGCAGGAATGCCAACACCAATGAAAACTGAATATTAGAATGGTGATATTTGTCTCTCTCATCATAATTTTTGGAGGAAACAGGGTTTTCTTATTGTACACGCATTTATATTACATGGTAGATATTTTGTTTTGGGTTTATTGAATGTATTTATTAGAGTGAATGTATAGTGTGTGTTGAGGGTTAAAAGTACATATATTCATTGGGTAAAATGCAAATTGTAATTACAATAGGAACAGGTTAATAAATAATATTAAAACAGGTATAAAAAAAACGTCAGGACATGACCAACACGATCTGGCCCTTTGACACCAAAAAAAAAAAATAAAGAACATCATTAAAAGAAAGTGGTAGTGTCGATGGGCTGGATCAGCAGAAAAGCTCTCATGTATCAAGAGCACTGATCTGCTCATGATTTAACTCTTGACACAGGGACACTTACTTTAGGACCAAAGCCCGGGTATATCAGGCATGTAGAGAAAGGATGCTCGATGAGTCCCACTTAATTGAAGGATGTCATTTCTTGGCTCCATATAGAAAATGTATAGGAATGACACCCGATAAGAGAACTGTGTTGAGCTTGAGCATGGTAATGAGTCTCTCAGTCCCACGGTTGTTTTATTGTATAAAGTACTGATACTTTTATGACCCCTAGTATATTAAGAGTGAATGTATTTATCAGCACGAATGTGCCATGAGAGAGGGCCTATGGATGAATATTGAGTACTACAACACCCAACTTTATTGAATGGTACGTAAAGAGGAAAAAATGCTTTAAGAATGAATGAGTGTGTCTAAAAACAGCATGTATTAAAGGCAGAAGTGACCTAGATGTTGACAACCCCTGTAGCCTAACTTCAGCGATAGGATGGAAAGACCAAGGTCTTACCCTGGTATGCCAATACACCAAAATGGGTGCCTTGAGAAGACAAACTTAGTTCTATACAGGTGAATGTTCTGTACAACTGTATGTATATGTGCAGAATTGAGCTTATAAATCATTCAAATTATTCATAATACATTCATAGCAGATATCATCTAAATGTATAAAATGAGATTATTGTTTTAAAAAATTATCAAAGATAAAATTGTCCCTGTGTAGCAAGTTTAAATAATATTTTTTTAATCAATGATCTATTGACTTGTGAGTTTTTTTTTTAAGATAAGAAATTAAAGATAAGCAAATATAAATAAAAACGTTTTTTTATAAAAAATTTTATTAAGTATTATGGAAATAACCTATTTGATGTGACATAATACAATTATTTAAAACCTTAAGCTGAGTTGATACATTTGAATGCACCTGGTCCCAAATTTTTGCATTGCTCATTTAAAAAAAACTAGCAAAAATGCAGAACATATTTAAAAAAAGGTTAACTTAATGTATTTCAAAGCTAACTGCATTTTTTAAACAATTAATTTTATTAATGATATATCAATTCATGATAAGTATTACTAATGTGCCAACTTGGCTTTAAGGCTCTATTTAATGATTTAAAAATAAAATTAAATACTAGCAATACAAATTTTAAAAACACATATAAATTAAAAAGTAAATAGAGAATTTTAAACTATTCCTATATACGTAACTATATACAAATTCCTAACTTTATTTTCAATTGATTTCAATTTAATTAAAATTTAATATGATCAGTCTCAACAATAATTATAGGATCTGGGTTAAAGTTTCCATTGACAATTATCATTGTATCAGGTTTAGTCTTGAAACTTACTGCGCAAATTTCACCAAGAACTTGCTTCTGTTATTTCTTCCAAAACTTGAATTTGGAACTGAGAGCAAGCTAAAACGAGGAAAACAAAATTAAACAGATAAATAGATTAATTTTAAGTTTGTTTTTTTACCTTTGTCTTCCAGAGGATATTTATCACCAACATGTTCTGTAACAGTATTAACAGTGTTGTCTGGAATATCTGGCAACTTTTGTGAATTTATAAAATTTAACTCTTTGTTATGAGTTGTTCTATGTCTTTTCATATCCGACCTGACCCTAAAAGATTTTCCACAGACGTCACAGCTGTAAGGTTTTTCACCAGTGTGGATCCTACGGTGATTCAGTAAGTACGAGGATGCTCTGAAAGATTTATTACAAAATTCGCAAATGTAATTTCTCTCTCCGGTGTGTATGCGACAGTGAATGATCAGAGAGTATTTCCTTGCAAAGTTTTTGCCGCAGAACTCGCATTGATACTGTTTCGAATCTGAATGCAGTGATGTCATATGGTATTTGAGGTCTCCCCATTGCCTAAACCTTCGTCCGCATACTTCACATTTGTATGGCTTATCGCCGGAATGCATCCTCATGTGAACTTTCAAAGTGTTGGCCGTGTAGAAACCCTTGCCGCATACTTCACACTGATGCGGTCTCTTTCCCGTGTGAGATCTTATGTGGTACATCAAAGAGTTTCGGTGGAGGAACATTCTCGGGCAATGTGGACACTGGGTGAGCTTTTTACGCCTTTTTCCCGTCCCAGGCTCATCGAATTCATCATTATCTAGATAAGTAGTTTTTAAAACTAACGGAGCGTTTTCGTTAGGCGGAGGTGTCGAGATCTGCAACGGGTCAGTCGTAGGATATTCCCAATTTTTAAATTTATCTTCTATCCTCTCTTCGGGGCTTTCCGTCTGGATATTTACTACATGTCTAATTCCTTCCATCATGTCTTCGGGCTCGCTGAATTCTTCCACTTGCTGGTGCTCCTGGGCAAAATGCGCCTCAAAGGTTTTCTGCTTGTGATACAATTTGCCGCAAAGGCCACAGGTGATGTTTGCATCTTCGACTTCCTCATTGCTGTCTTTGAACGTAAAAGTTTGAGGAAGCAGGGAGTCTTCGTAGTTGATTATGGAACCCTCGAGCTCCCCATTAGGCATCAATAAGACATTTGACGTCCCCTCATAATGCAGTTTTAAATGCTCAAAAAACTTTATCTGATTGCAACATTCAACAGAGCAAATTTCACACGTAAACATGATATATTCGTTTTTAAAACTTTATATCAGATATTTTTAATGCTTCTGTCAATAGGGTCCATTTCAAAGAATATTCTCGCCTTTAAAAACGGTCTCCATTTCCCTCTAAATGGAAAATGGAAATGAAAGGCGTTTTTTTTTTTCTTATACTTCCATCTCCTAAAAATGAATAAGAAATTTATTAAAAATAAATTATTTTTCTTATTTTCATATATTTGACACAAATAAGTTCATTTCTTTCTCAAAAAAGCGTTAACATGTAAGTTACTGGTGATTTGAAACAAAGGATTGACTTTTATATTGTCCACAAATCTGAATTGGTTTGTGAACGGGACGATTTACAAAGAGGGAACAACGTTGAAATCGTCGGAAGGCTAATTAAATCTTGAAAATATGTAAAATAATCCAATAAGAAACGCATTAGAGAATTACGGCTGTTATGAAATTACCAATTATCAAGGGTCGATGGGTAAAACTGTTAATTGTTAATACAAAGAAAAAACCGTCATTTTTCCACGTTTCTAAATTTAAATGACGAGAGAAAACCTTTAAGTGAAATACAAAGAAATACCTTGTTTCTAAAGTCTAAAGTCAGCTTAGTCAAAGAAATATCAACTTTCCTTGACTGTTGTCAACATCAGTTGTTAAGGTTAAGCATGAAGTCGATCCTTAAGTGAAGGCAAGTTGGACAAATCGATTTCACTCACATTGTGCAACAAGTTATTTTAATTTACAAAAAAAAAGTTATTTAATAAAGAAATTAAAATAATAAAAGCATAATTTACTACAATAGAAAAGTTTTGAACTTATAAATTTTACAGGGATATGGCAAACATACATGTTACAATTATTTTATTTTTTTATTACAAAGAAAGTTTTAGAAGCTTAATAACATAGAAAAAACAAGATAAACACAAAATAGAATTAAAATATAGGTATAAGAACACACAAATACAAGTGGATATAAAAATATATAATTATGACATATAAGCATTACATGTTACAATTATTTTATTTATGTATTACAAAGAAAGTTTTAGAAGCTTAATAACATAGAAAAACAAGATAAACATAAAATAGAATTAAAATATAGGTAATTAGTAAATATACAAAAACACACAAATACAAGTGGATATAACTGTGACAAGATAAAATTTCGAAGTGGAGAATTTAAAGTTTTTTTTTGTACTTATATCAATGAAAAAAATCTATGAATAATGGAATTGGTTTACCTCTGAATAGGCTTAGAAGTCTAATAAAACAGAAAAACAAGGAAAACACAAAATAAAATTAAAATGTAGGTAATTAATAAATATATAAGTACACACAAATACATGTGGATATAAAAATATATAACTATGACAAGGTAAAATTTCTAAATGGAGAATTTAAAGTTTTTTATTTTTGTACTTATATCAATGAAAAAATCTATGAACAATTAATTCACTACTTTCGTGGTCCGCTTGACCAATTAATACATGATAATTAATTAAGAACAATGGAATTGGCTTTTCTCAGAACAGGCCTAAAAGCCTAATAACACAGAAAAACAAGGAAAACACAAAATAAAATTAAAATATAAGTAATAAATAAAAAAATACGACAAAACAAAATTAAATTAAAATAGAAGTAATAAATATATAATAACACAAAAGTATAAGTGGATATAAAAAATATACCTATGACAAAATAAAATTTCAAAGTGGAATTTAAAGTTTTTTTAAAGGTTTGTACTTATATCAATGAAAAGATCTATGAACAATGGAATTGGCTTATCTCTGAATAGGCTTAGAAGTCTAATAACACTGAGAAACAAGGAAAACCCAAAATAAAAGTAAAATATAAGTAATTAGTAAACATATAAGAACATACAAATATAAAAATATATAACTATGACAAGATAAAATTTCGAAATGGAATTTAAAGGGTTTTTATTTTTGTACTCTTATCATGAAAATTTCTTTTTCTGCACTCGGTTGGTTGGAGAATGAAAACTGTAATAATACCAACTTAGACTACGTTGAAAGTTTGAGGATTTCTGGTATTATGAGATGGAATGTTAAAGTTAATTAATTTGAGGAATTCTGGACAGTTTAATTGTTTATTTAATAATTTATGGACAATTTTTTTTTTTTAGTTTTTAAGGTTTCAGGTTTGCCTATATTCAATGCATTTAGAATTTTAAGAATAATTTACAGCACAATTACCCAATGGACATTTCTGAGAAAACTATGCTGAAAGCGTTCAAGAGAATCTTTTAGATATTGATGTGGTGACCAAACTACTGAAGACAATGATGGGCCTGACTGAAGAAATATATAACACTAATACATAATAATACAACATAAATACACATAATTGACAAATTTTTTTCCTTGTACAACAGGGAGTACCTTATCTATTTCTTTTATTATATTATCTTTTCTTTTTTAAATAATTATTCGAGCTCTCGCAACAGTTTATATTTTCTATTAATCCATGGTGGATACAGCATTCACATCGCTCATGAACTCGATGCCTGCTGGCGAGGACAATGACTATATTTTTAAACCAAAAGATAAATGGCAACAACTTAATCATAAATAGAGATGGGATTGCTATGCAGTTGCATATGTTGTTTGCCACCACATACGGCTGAGGAAATCAATTATCTATCCGAATCATGTATCTAGGAAGCTGTAGTTTAAATTATATAAAGTATATTTCTCATATTTGATGAATATCACAAAAAATTGCGTATTTGAACAATATCGCATATTTGAAGGAGTTTTATGTAAAATCGCATTTATCGTGCAAAATATTTTTAAATGTTATATTGGTTTTCACGGGAAACAAAAAAAATCTGTAAAAAAATAAGTTGATGAAAAGTTGGTTTAATTAGAAGAAATCTGAAACAGGCTGCAACGACAGGAAGAGAAGATTCTAGAAATTCCGATAGAAGAATATAGAACTTCTTTGGTCTTATTTCAATATTCAATATTCTCACAAATTTTAAGTGACTGAAGGCACGATTTCATGGAAGACAATTTAGAGAAGTACTTGTTTAGTAACATAAATTATACTCAATTAGTAAAAAATATATAATTTAATTATGAAAGTGAAAAAATATTTTTGTTAAATGTAAATAAACTCTAAGGGGCATTGGTGGCCACAACGGTTTAGGCGTTGACACTGTGCTCATCACTGTAAAAGTCCTGGGCTTGAATCCAGCGGCCCGAGGATTCAAATAACCTTGTAGTTGAAATACCTTCGTTAAAAAAAACACATCAAGCTTAATGCTATTTCAAACCTAATTAATTGAATTTATCCAAAAATGGTAATCTATTAAATGAAGTACTTCAAGAAAAGCAAAACCATGCTCAATATTTTTACCGAATTGGCTAAAAATATGTGATTATGATCCAAGAAGAAACAACAGAACAAAACTTTAAGCAACTTTGATCCTTTTAAGCTGTGCAAATTTATGCAAGCTCTGGAACGTTTGACTCCTTTTGAGTAATTTAAAGAACAGAGGAGAGAAAAAGAAACACTCGTCATAAACAGCAATGTTGGAAGATTCTTGAGGCAACCAGGGCCCAGTAATGGATTGTAGCATTAGGAATAATGAATATAATATATGATTTAATTGAGAGAATTATTTTTCCTGAAGTTGATGTTATACCTACACGTAGGCAGTGTATGTACGATATGACAGGCTGGTCACTGAAGATGGCGAAAAATTGAAATCCGTGTGACAGACCTCACTATAGGTTTATCCACAGACTCCATAAAGAAATCTCACAATGTTTTTAAATCTACATAATAATTGTTAACCTTTATTTTTTTTAATTAGGAAGCGGTAAAAAATTACAATCGACAACAAAATTTCTTTTTATTTATTTTTACAGAAAATTTACATGTGACTACATTAAGTGTTTATTTACACCGCTAGAAATAAAATTTCAATTACAGTAAATTCAACATGAAATGGGGTATTAAATAACATATGTTCAATTTGCACAAATAACTCCCAACAGGCTAGCTGTTTTAACTTGAAAACCTTTAGGAACTAAAAATACTTTTTAAGTACTTAAATATATGATATTGTTCTGATCTAGCAAATAGACAAGGTTTCATCAATCCTGGAATAATAATATATGGAATGTAATTTTTTAAAAATATTTTTACAATTTTCACACTGCTATCTGCTTAACAAATTAACAATATGGATGATAAAATTCAATAAAGAATTAATTGTCCTTTTTCATCCTGTTGCTTGTCATTCTGTATATAATAGAATCTCGTCCTGGATCCATATTAGCAATACCCACTGTAAATTATAAAAAAAAATTTTAAAGCATTTTAAACACAAAAACCTTATTGTTTTCTTACTTGAAACTCCTAGCAGGACCATGGTAAAGGAGATGCCAAACCAAAGGAAAATATTAAAAATGACCGGGTAATTCTCATCTACGCCATCGTTGTTAGTAGCTTCGACGGTGTCAGTTTCAGCCTCCTAAAAAAATTAGTTTTATACTTTGACCATTTATCGAGAAAAAATTATAATAATAACCTTTCCGTCAGCCTGTCTCCTGTATCTTCTGGTGTGTACGGCGTCACTAGAAATTACAGCAAAAACCACCTGAAAAAATATTAATTAATTAAAAGTGCACAAAAAGGATAACAGGATTCGCCGTACTTTATCGTTGTAAGCGGTGTTGAAAACTTCAGATAAAAGTAGCACTGATGAAGAAAGCACTCTTTTAGCCTCCTCAACTTCTTTGCTATGAAGTCCGTACGTATCAATAAGGGTATGAAGTCCAGGTACAGTAATCCAATGAACATCTGGTATTCCATCGTTGGATAAACCTTTATCTGCAATCTTACAAGAAAGGATAAAATGCAGATTAGAATATTTACCTATTCAATTTTTTTTTTTTTTTAATATAAATTTAAAGTAAAGTAAATTAATTCCTTTCATACTGGACGGCTTAATGGTCAACCCATTGGGTGTTGTGGACAAGGGGTAAAACCACTTTACAATATTATCTCAATGTTGTACACAATTAAAAATCCATGGGCTATGCCGGGATTCAAACCCAGGACTGCTAGTTTTGCAAATACGAGTTGGCGCCCTAACCACTAGGCCACCTCTTGTATAAATGAATATATCTCAAGTTAAATTTTATATTAAAAAATTTTTATGAGAAATGCTTACTTTATTAGTGATAGCATCCAACATGTTAATTTGATCAATAAATGCTTTGTCTTCAGGCCTGGACATTTTAAGGTTTTCAACAGATGGTGAATCCCTCTGCATCAGTTCACCATAAGCGTCAGCCTAAAATTTTTCCATTAGTCATTAATCGATTTAAACTAATGAGATGATTTAGTATTTATCAATGTCTTACAGCGTCATTAGGTTTGTCCAAAGAAACATGGATTGTGGTCACATTGTCCACGGCAGCTGCTGGGAAACGGTCGGAGAATCTCCAAAAGAGAGACCTCCTTGTGCCGTCAATCGCTTCATCAGTGTCTAACGGGTACGTCCTCCCCTGAACAGAATCCAATGATGCAACACCCGGTACGGACACGACGGCCACAGCATCGGCGAAGTTGAACGGATTTTTTATTACAAGTCCGGACCATCTAGGGCTCTGTAAAATTTTTTAAAATCAGTGTGATATAAGTCAATAAATTAATATTCTCCTTACCTCGGGAATAGAAAAGCCTAGAGTAGCAGAGAGTACGTTTTTAACATTGCTAAGCGAAAGCTGTTCCTGGCCTAGGAAAACTAGCGATTCAGGATTCTGTAAAATCGACAACTCCCCATTTGCAATAACTGTAAAAACAGAAATAAGAAAATGTTTTAATGTATATCATGAAGGTTGTTTTTACAGTTAATAATTCATATTTCCAGCTTTGTGTCTAAAAGTTTTTTTTTACAACGAGGGTGACCATTTGTAAGTATACAATGAACACAGGACTTTTACCTTATCAGTCACTGTCTCATCGCCAAAAAATCGGCCACCGATCAAGAAGTTTGAACTTCAAATTAGAGCCTATGAGCTGGTAGCTTGAAAAAATTGCTGAGCAAAATATTTTAATGTGTAGAGATTAGTGACCGTTAATCGATAGTTATTCAGATATGGTGAGATGCGGTCGGGTGTGATGTAGGTTTCAGAAAAACATTTTCTTTATCGTGCCAACGTTTTGATCTTTTATTGAGATCATCTTCAGGGCCTGGGATTTACAGACAATGTTTACATTTAACAATTACATTTAGGATGTGGAAAAGTGAATTTATACAATTGAGTGAGTAGAAATACTTTGTTTGAATATAAAATATATTTTGCATTGTATAAATTCACTTTTCCACATCCTAAATGTAATTGTTAAATGTAAACATTGTTTGTAAATCCCAGGCCCTGAAGATGATCTCAATAAAAGATCGAAATGTTGGCACGATAAAGAAAATGTTTTTCTGAAACCTACATCACACCTGACCGCATCTCACGATATCTGAATAAAAATATTTTAAGTTAAAACTTTTGACAAATAGTAAACTTGTCCAGCAACTAAAGGTCATGCTAGTTTTGCGGGCTACCCGAGGTGACCTTTATTTCACTTAACTAACTTGGTTCAACGAACCTCTGATTGAGACACCAGATGTTCTATCAAACTGTGGTGAACATGTGCCATTCACAATGTACCTTATTTGAGGCAGAACGAGGCATCACCTCAGCGAATTTAAAGCACCTCAGACTGCTAATACATGAACTATTATGTTTTAATCCATCAAAGAAAAGTGAACATGCTATGTGATCGATAATTTACTGCTTTTATTATAAAGCAGCTGTCTTATACTGCCTCGGGTAGTGTGAAGCAATAAACCCTTTGCAAAAAGCAAAAAAGACAATAAACTAATTATTAAATCCTGTTTATTGTGTTAAAAATATAAAAATTGTACAGTAATTATTGTTAAATTGAAAATAATGACCTCAAGGAAAACAGGGTGTGTCTCCTTATACCTGCAAAACATAACTTAATACAAAAAACTAACTACTTATAACAACACGAAAATGTCAAAAGTTTTGAAATATCAATATTAAAACTTACCAGACACTAATAAACAGCTAAAACTCAATGCGACCCCCAACATTTTAAAAGAAATCAATACTGCTTACACTTCAGATATGGCTTTTATTTTATGTACTAAGCTTTATGCCTGCCTTGCATAACAAGTCGGGCGTTTGCAATATTGAAAATTGTCAAAACCGACTACAGTAAGTTCAAAGGAGTTTATAATTTATGAAAAGAGTTAGAACTTATAACTTGAACTAAGATGAAAGTTAGTTGAAGGGGGCGTGGTGCCGTCGGCCTTCGCAACTCTGTTGCCAGCTGTTAGATTTTCAGTGATACCTTGACATCTTCTTTTGGTGAACTGTCTGTTCCCAACTTCATTCGGTTTTTTACGTTTGTAAAATATTCCATTGTTTAATTCATGATTTTGAATTAATTTGAAATAAAACGTTCCAAAAAAGTTTTTGATTAATTGTTTAAACAAGTTTTTATTTACAATCTCTTATACAATAAATCCTTTATTTACTTGCCACATATTTAAATTGCTTTTTGTACATTTAAATCCTTGATTGACAGTAAAATTTTCAATTTTTTCAAATAACTATGGTTTAATTTAATTTTTATTTTTTACCCAGCAAAACAACATTATAAAAATTAACACAATCTGTCTGTTTATTGTAATATTGTCAAGTAAGCTTAAGCAAATCTTTATACTTATCATTGAAATAATAAAGTACATATCTATAATCAATTTAATATAAATCTGAGGTTGAAGATAAAGCTTGTTTCAATTTTTCCAAATAAATATTGTTTACTTTTTTTGCTACTCATTAAAACAACATTATAAATATTGACAGAATCTGCCTGTTTATTGTAATATTGTCAAATAAATTTTAAACAAATCTTTCTACTTGTTATTGAAATAATAAAGTACGTATCTATAATCATTTCGATTTAATATATATCTGAGGTTGAAGATAAAGCTTTCTTCAATTTTTCCAAATAACTATTGTTTATTTTAATTTTATTTTTTAATTAATTTTTTTGTTTTCCAATAAAACAACATTATAAAAATTGACAAAATCTGTCTGTTAATTGTAATACTGTCGAATAAGTTAAGCAAATACTTGTTGTTACAAACATAATAAAGCATCTACAGTGAAAGTGAATTTAACACAATACTATTTAATATAAAGTTGGCTATCAAAGGTTGGATATAAAGCTTGCTTTGATTTTTCCAAGTATCATTTAATATAAAGTTGTCTATGAGAGGAAGATAAAGCTTCCTTCAATTTTTTCAAATAACTATTGTTTTTTGTCTTTTCTAAAAAAAATAATTAAAGTTGACAATGAAAATAATAAAAACCAACTGATATTGTTTCAAGAATATAATATTTAAAAAAATATAATGAACAAAGTCTAACTACCTATATTATAGGTAAATAAGGACGATATATTTTATTTTAACGTAGTACAGTAATAAATAGTAAATAAATGTTTAAAATTTGTTGTATCCCCTTAACGGTTGGGATTCTACTGTGTTTTGTCCCGGCGGAAATGGAATTGGGCAACACTGGATGTCCGTTTTCCCTTGTGGAGTTGTGGTTCTTGAACTGTTTTGACTGCCTTGATGCAGATGTAATCTTGACAACAGCCGTGAAGTCGTGACAAGTCTTGACAACGATCCCCAGTGGCCGTCGTCCGATGAAACCGAGTCGGGATCCATCGAATTGAGCGTTAAGGCCAGGGATCCGGCCGAGCTCTCCTCGGTCACGAGCGATTTTCCTCTTGCGACACTTTTCCTCGCACTTTCCATATTTCGCCTCGTTTCCACGACTGTCGAGGGCCGTTTTACATGCTCGATCATAATTGATCACGATGTCTGAAGTATGGACGCCTTCATGGTTTTTAATATGCGTTTTCTCCCGCTCCAAGGTTGGTGGAGTATTTTTTTAAAAATATGTTTTTACTCGGGGATTTCACTATAAACTTTCACACATGTCAACATTTATTTATTTTAAAAATATATATTTTTTAAAAGTTATTACCTTTTTCAAGTCGTTCGTAGGGTCGAAGGCCACTTAATCACCTTGGTGTTATTGGCCAAAAAAAAAAAAAAAAAAAACTACTTCTGACTCATAGTTAATTTACATAAGACTTGACAATCTTTTGCAGGTGAAAAATGAAATATCACACCTTTCCTGTGCATTCATTTGCAAAATACCCTATGATTATTTATAATAGGTACTGCCAAGTTCAAAATAAACACTTTCTTTTACCATATCTCCTCAAAAAAATCCTTATTTATTTATTAGTATATATTTCAAGGGTACAGGGAAAAAACAAGACCAACATTTTTCCTATGTTGACTAAAACTAGAATGGTCCAGTGAAAATCGAGGCAAAAAAAAGTCTAAACAAGAATAATTTACATGTCACAGGGATGAAACAAGGAGAGTCATGGTGAAACGGAGCATGAACTAAACTGATCAAAAATGAAATATGTGTAATTTATTATTATTTTATTAATTTTAATTCAATTAACCGATATATTCTTGTTAGTTGGATAAAACAAAATAGAAAATACAAACCAAAAACAAACAAATGTTAATCTGCATTTATAATAACAGATTTACTTAAGAGTAGTAAACATGAAGATTACTCATTTTTTAAACAAACACTTTTTCTCGTCTTGTCTCCATTTTAATCCAGTTGTACTCTCTTTAACCAGAGACAAAGATCTTGAACCAAAAGTTCGCAATATTGTTTTGAGTTGACGTTACTCAGAGCATAGTCTCCTGAACTTAAGCTGATTCTGAGAGATTGGAAGTGCCAATAGGAGGCCTGTTAGTGGATCTCAGCACATTATGACGCTTAGGGAGGATAGAAATATTGTGATTGCTGCAAGAAGAAACCCTTTCCATAGTGCCCGCTAGGTCCTCAATTATGTACAAGATGTTTTGACAAGGACAAACAATTCGTAACCGCCTCACATGGTATGCCCCTTTGAGACGACCTGCAGCAACAGCCTGCCACCAGCGACTCAGGAGAATATGGTGGAGCGAGCGCCTAGAAGAGTACACCAATTGGAATGCTGTTATGTTTTCTGATGAGTTGCGTTTCTGTCTGTATAGTGATAGCAGACGCCGAAGAGTCTACCAAGAACTGAGGTTGTATATATATATTGTGCAGGGTGGGCGACCAAGACCCGAGGGGTTAAATGTCTGGGTAGACTTGTACCCCATCTCTAAAAGGTCCGGGACTTGGTCGGCTCACGTGTCCTGCATAAACCTCTTGGAATTGTTCACAAACCCCAAGATTTTGGACCATTTAATCTCGGGGAGTGATTTGGTGATGTCCTCTCCTTCAAAGATTTCAAATCTAGACCTAGCATACCTATCACACTCTGCGAGGTAGTGCCTTGCTGTTTCTTCTTTTATTTCGCAGAAGCGGCAAAAAGGATCTGGTTGGATACCCATTACGAAGTCTTCTCAGTGGGCAGTGGCCCGTCAGAATACCTATCAGCCTCCTAATTCCATTCCTTGAGATAGAGAATAGCCATTTCGATTCTGCTGGTTTGATCGCCTTAACAAACTCTTTCGATTGCTTGTGTCCGGGGGATAAAGTCCACTCCCTAAGGAATTGTTTCATGCCCCAGTTATTGATATTGACAAACGCAGTATTAAAACCTTCTTTGGCTAGGCCATCCGCCTTTTCATTGCCATGGTGTCCTTTATGTGCTGGTATCCAAATAAGGGTCACCTTATTCTCAAACCTGAAAGAGATCCTATTGATAAGATCTATAGTTTCCTCCACCAGTCATGAGGTTGACAAATCTTTTTGTAATGCTCTAAGACTAGCCTGACTGTCAGAAAAGATTTTAATATCTTTTCCCATAATTTTATTTTCCATAAGTGTTCTACAACACACATTGATGGCCCAGATTTCCGCCTGAAAAACGGAAGTGTTATTGCCAAGAGGGGAGGAGATGCTGATTCCTAATTTTGGTATGTAGATTCCTGCACCACTCCCTCTTCCTTTGATAAGTGATCCATCTGTGTAGCAGTCTATGTATGTAATTATGGTCATCATCCAGACTATAATTATAATCACAAGGGGTGACTACCTGAAAGTGCTTTTTCCCTGAAGGGGACTGAGGATGCATACAATGCCCTAGTTTGTGCTCCCTTTAGTGCAGTTTGGAGGAGGAGGTGTAATGTTCTGGGCTGGGATTACACTGGACTCCATGTTGTTGAAGGAAACCTCACCGCAGTCCGTTATGTTCAAGGAATTATCGAGGAATACATGAATGTTTGAGGGGGGGTCAATGGCAGAATATTGAGCATCAACCTCAATTAGGATAGTTGGATGATGAGGAATATCGAGTACTGCACCACCCAAACTGAGTGAATTGTATGTAAATATGAAATAATATATTTAAGAGTGAGTGTGATGGGGAGACAAAGTCCATTGACGGCTTCAATGACCTAGCTGTTGATAGCACGCAGAAACCAACTTAGCAGCTGGACGGATAAGACCGAGGTCTGTCCCAGACTGCGGGATGATTCTCGAAGCCTGCCGGTAATTTACTGTAAAAGCTGGAATTGCAAGCAGGTTGTGAAAAATGAACTTATATATACCATCAATCAGTATAAAACCCTAACAATTTGGAAAAATATGTTAAACACAATTCAAGAAATCTCTTAGTCTTTTCATAAAAACTAAGTTCTGAAAAAGATTATTATACTATAAATTAAATGAAGGGTACAGGGAAAAAAGAATAGTCATAAAGTTTGAATTCTAAGAAAATTTAAGTTAAATGTTTAAAACTTTGCCAAAATGATAAAAACTCAGATTTTGCAACTACTGTAATAATTTTAGAAAGAATAATTTCCAATAAAAATCCAATTTATATATGAATAAAACAAGGAATGTCACCATTTTCATTGCACATAAAACTCAACGTTTTTCATGTAAAAACACTTTTTTTTTTTTTTAACGAGGGTTCGCAACAGCAGAGGTCATATAAACCCTCAGGGTGCTGGTGTTTTTGAGAAAACACTTTCATTACAAAACTATTACAGAATTACCTTAACTTAACAATTGCCAAGCTTAAAAAAGAAATGATGTATTTTGTGAATAATCATTACAAATGTGTGGTGATTAGTGACCGTTAATCGATAATTATTCAGAAATCTTGAGATGCGGTCTGGTGTGATGTAGGGATGTAGGTTTCAGAGAAACACTTTCTTTATCGTGCCAACGTTTCGATCTTTATTGAGATCATGTTCAGGGCTCAAAGTGTTTGTCTTCTGTGTGATTGTGCCATTCTTGCGTGTCGTTTTGAGGGTGCCAGAGAGATTTTTCTCTCTGCAGCCCTGAAAATGATCTCAATAAAGATCGAAACGTTGGCACGATAAAGAAAATGTTTTTCTGAAACCTACATCACACCAGACCGCATCTCACAATTTCTGAATAATTAAACATTACAACGCTGGATCAAAAACAAAAAATCAAATCATTGGTGGTGCAAGTTCTTGTAAAGTATTTGGTTTTTGGGAGGCAAAAATCCTTCAATACTTGAAGATCGTCATATTTCGGTTTTGTCAACAGTAGACGTTGATTGTATGTTCTTGCTGGCATCTCAAACTCTCCTTTTAGGTTCTATATATCAACCTAGTATAGCTTAGGTCGGGTATGATCCCTCTTCTACGAGTCAGCTCCTTGAAGGACCACCTATTGACAAAGTTCTTATTTCATGAATGTTTCTTTGCCAGTCTGGCCCACTGATACTGCCACTGTTTTTTTTAATTGAATTTTTAGCAACAGAAGATGGTTTTTGATTGTGGTGGCTATGTGTCAGAGGTTGGGATGCCTCACACTATTAAATTTTGATTGAGTTATGATCAGTTATTTTGCCGTAGCACAATCAAAACTCAAAACTAATGGTTGTAGTGACCGACCTGTAGTTTGTTGGTTCCCATCATTTTGGACTGCATATCCTTGCTGTTTCAGCCACTCAGACACGTGCCAGCTTCTTGCCATTTTTTAGTGACCAGTTTTAACCAAAATTATAATTTAATCAGTTTGAATTTTATTGCCATGGCAAATTAATACAAATTTTATGCTGTTTGTGATGTACATGCAAGTCATTTCTCAGCATATGGCATATTAAAATAGTATGTAAATTTGTTAAAGTGTTCGAAAGTTAAATTTTTCGTTTGCTTTTACTGTAAAAAGCTAGAGACATTGCTTTTTTACTGGGGGAAACATGTTATTATAAAGAAAGTAAAAACTTTTGGACATCCCATTCTTATTCGCAAATTTTTATAGTTAACAAAAAGTTACTAACCTTTTCTCATTTTAATTACAGATTTGCACTTAACGCATAATATATATTGTTTTAAATCATAACAAAATCTATTAGATTTATTATAGTTTGATTAAATCCAGTGAGTATAAAATTTAAAAAGTTTGTTTTATGATTGCACATTAAGTACCTTTTTATCTGCTGGCCACATTCCTCCTTTAGTTATGATGCTCCTTATCAGATGGCCTCTGGTGTTTTTGAACTGCTTGCACTCTTGAGTAATATATGTTCAAGTCTGTTTTTCACCTCCACACAGACAGTCTAAGTGGTTGTAGATACAGTCTATTTTTGCTTTGACCTGTGAGGACCATAGTTGTCTTGAAAGTGTAGCTAATGAGGGTATGCCTCCTGTCATTAACTGATGAAAAATGCCTTCTTGTTGTGTTAATGAAATCTCCCAATATCGAATTTTTCCTCAACCCCCACAAAGTTTTTCTGATTGATTCCTGCAAGGGCAGTGCTTTGTGTGGACCTCATCGACTGCACTTTGTAACTATAAATTGCTTACATTGATGATAACTGTAATGAATCTATTACAATTAATTAAGGTTTTTAGTTGAGATAAAAAAGTCAGTGGCACGAGCGGGATTCGAACCCACGATCTTTGGCTAGATACGCCGTTGCTCTACCACTTGAGCTATCGTGACCTCGATCCACTCGGACACCAACTTCCCATCTCAACCCCACCTTTTGAGTTTTCCCTCCTTTTTGCATATCTAGCCGAAGATTGTGGGTTCTAATCCCACTCGTGCCATTGACTTTTTTTATCTCTACTAAAAACCTTAATTAATTGTAATATATTAATTGGTCAAGCGGACCACGAAATTAGTGAATGTAATGAATCTGTTTGCTAAAACTTTCACTATTTTAGCATAAACATTATTACCTTTGGACTCACAGACTTTTTGTTTTTGAATTTTATTAATTAAATTTATTTATTAAAACTGGTCTTATTAGACCAACCATTAATTTTACAATAATATTATAGAATAAATAAATGTTTATATTCTTATAAACTCATTGGTACAATAAGATTTACATTCCACTATTCACTATTCATTTTTAACTACACAAGTTCATATGGCTTTGTTCTTTTTACTCTTCTGACCGTGTTTCGGTTATGTAAGAGTTTGATCGCTTCCACATTCTCGTCCTGGCTGAGGCGAGTCTGGTGTTTGGCGACAAATCTTTGTATTTCTGCCGTGACCTCAGGGATCTTAAGATCCCTACGCAAGTCTGTATTCCTTACGTACCAAGGTGCATTGACCATGTTACGTAAGATTTTATTTTGGAGTGTTTGCTTCAACCCCATAGTTGAATACCATATGTTCACATAGGCTTTATGACTTGTTTATATAATAATATTTTATTTTGTATAGCAAGGTTGGAGCCACTTCCAATCAACCAGTATAGTTGTCTATACCTTACACCTATTTCTGTCCTTTTTTTCTTCACGTGTTCTTTCTATCACAGCTTGGCATCTAAGGTCATTCCCTGATATTTAGCTGTATCGCTGCATGGTATAGTAGTTCCATCGATTGTGGGCGACGGAACATGGTCCACTTTTTTGTTTGTAAAGATTACATGAACTAATTTATGCTGATTTAGTTTGATTTTCCATTTTTTTTGTCCATTCGTTTATCTTATTACATGCATTTTGGAGGATTTTGGTTGAATGGGTGATAGTCGGTCCTGGTGATATCATCACTGTATCATCTGCAAATGTTGCAATTTTTATTCCATCTATTTTCGGACAATCATTGGTGTATGACAAGTAAAGCAGTGGACCTAATATGCTACCTTGTGGCACTCCTGCATTTATTGTTTTTAGTTTTGAATATTGATCTTCTTGTTTGACTCTAAACAGTCTGTCAGTTAGGTAAGAACTGATATCGACATACTGCTTTGGTAGCGTACCTTTTAGTTTATTGATGAGTCCTTCGTGCCAGGCCTTGTCAAAAGCTTGTGAGACATCATGGAAGATAACAGAATAAATTTGTTTTTCTTCAAGAGATTTTTCTATTACGTCTGTTACTCGGTGAATTTGGTCTATTGTTGAATGTCTTGTTCGGAATCCAAATTGGTGGTCAGGAATGATTTTCTTTTTTTCTACAATGGGTTTTATTCGCTTTAATAATAACTTTTCGAAGAGTTTAGACACTGTCGGTAGTAGCGATATTGGTCTATATAATTTGACCTCGTTCGACGGTTTTCCTGTTTTTTTTATTATAATGACTTCTGCGAATTTCCAGATGCTGGGAACATATTTCAGTCAGACTCATACACTTATATATTTAAAAATGCAGAATAAAGAAAACATGCAAAGAAATTGCCAAATTCCCTATTGCAAAATTAAGTCGTTTGTCTATTGTCTCAGATTACCAGGCAGTGTCTTTGCCACTAAAGTTGCCATTTAAGCATGATGAATCATAAGCCTAATGATGATGTGACTTGATGAATATAAAAATAAAGATGTGAGAGAAAATGCAGCGAGTTCTATCTTAAAACAAATTAAAATTGCTGGACTTACAAATGCTGATTAGAACAAAAGGAAAAACAAATAAAAAAAAAAGTATTACATGCAATGGCAAAGGCCGTCTGCAGGGCTGATCAATTTTTAATGAATAAAAACTGATTAAAGTCGCTTTCAATGAGTAATGAGAATGCGACTTTACAGACCTCTCTACAAAGTTCAAAAATTGTCCTCTTGTATCAGCAATGATCCTAAGTAATTGTTCTGTTTATTTCTAACCTTGAACCATTCAAAATGTTCATTTTGTGAATTAACATGTAACATTTACAAAAGCCTATGATAAAATGAACAGGAAAAGACCTCCTGAAGAGTGTTTTTATTGCAAATAGATTCGAGTCTTTATTAAGCATTATCAATTGCAATTTGTACCAAAAGCATTTGAATAAAGGAAAATTAAGTCAGAAGTTGTACACAACTGTCTGGAACCAATTTGGGAAAGATTTATATATTTTTTATAAATATCTTTAAATTTCCATAAATAATAATAAAACTATATTGGAAGTATGACAATGTATGTAAAGTAGATATTCTATAATTTATTGATTAATCTAGAGCTGTGACTTATTGAATTACCAACAACTAAGGCTTCCCCTATACCTTGTTTAAAATTACACATTTGTTTTCTTATCTTTTGACAGTTATGTGGATCACACTAGTATTGGTCTTGACTGTATCTTCGGTTAGTTACCAGCAAGACCAAACGACAACCAATGTGACGAAGAACCGGTTAGCGACAGTCGCTAACAAATGTAAGTATATTTATTTTTTTCTGAACGTTGTACTAATTTTAATCTATTTTTTTTTTCATTAGTTGTAAGAAGTGAGCAAACTACAGAACATTACAAAAGTGAAATTCTAAGTCAAGCGCCAGATGCTAAAATTTGCATTGGTGTTAATTGCAGCAATGTGACAGACGGCTCGTTTTTATCTGTGGAACCCACTTCAGTTGACTCATTACTATCATCATCTTTATTAACATCATTAATTCCAAGTTAGAATTCTTTTTTTTTTTTTTTTTTTTTTTTTTTTTTGAGGGGGGAATTATTTGTTTTGATGTTTCACAAGTATATTTCTAGGCGTGGAAACATACATGGGTCAAGAGAAAAATTCCTCGGTTGTTTTGATGTATCACAACAGCCCAGATCAAGACAATTTCACAAGCAATTACACTGTTGATGAAGAAGAGTTTAATATCGGTGAGAACACAGACTCAGTATTCAACACGGGTGTCATCGCGGGGATTTCAGCACTTGTCGTTGTTATTTTGTTGTTATTAGGTAAACAGATTTAAAATTTAAATTTATTTCATAAATATTAAATGAATGTGTTGTTTGTAGGAATAGTTGGTTTCATGATCTACAGACATTTCAGCTGGAACCGCCCACAGACACTTAGTGATAAATTCAGCAATGATGAATCTACTGGATACATTGACGATACTGCTTTAAGAGTAAGAACGTATTTCATGAAATTTTGTAATGTTCCCAAAATGCAATTTTATTGTAATAATAATTTATGTTTTAGGAAAACTCTGAAGAAATGTATAGCTTGGACAATGACTCATTCCTCAACAGCCTCGAGGCAATGACAATCCAGAATTATTGGACAGATCAGGTCAAACACACGAAATTGTAATACCAATTTTTATTTTATTTAGCACTAAGTTCCTTTTCAGTTTTTAAACTGGTGTAGCAATACATTTCGGGCTGTGTGTCTCCTTCTTATTTTTATTCTGGCTGTGTTTCTTTCATTTTCTTCCGTCTAAACCAAAAACGTTGCCTAAAAAATTATTTTGAACTATCCGTCCAGTGTCAGACTGTTTTTTCAGAATTAGCGATCCATTTAGTATATGTAACTATATTGATGCTTGTTATTTGTCTAAAATTAATAGACATATCAGAATATTTTAAATATAGCAAATCACGTATGCTTATAAATCTGGCCTTTACAACATAATCAGTAACATTTAACTATTTATAATAAACTTGAGCCTAAATTTTTATTGCTTCTTTCATAAAGAGAAACATTGTCTATGAATAGCAATTTATCAACTTGAAAGGCAATATTCTTCAAACATTCATTAAAAGTAAAAAAAAAAAAAAAAAAAAAAAAAAAAAAAAAAAAAAAAAAAAAAAAAAAAACAACGTTATTTTCTAAAGGTGTTAAAGTTTGTACCACAGTAGTTTTATATTTTATTTATTAGGTCATAAAGTTATAATTACATTTTTTTTACCTTAGATTATTTTGGTCCAGTCAATTTATACAGTCGATCAAAAAGATCAGTTGAACAAATAGTTAGGGGTTTCAATAGTTCCAAAGAATTCTATTTACATTATGTAGATATTCTAAAGGATTAAACTTTTTTAAAATTATCATCTTAAAAATTAAAATAAATTTCCAAGCCATCTACACTTGCCACAATTCTCTGATTATCTGAAACTATTGAAGATTATTAGATATCGGGTGACTTCAAAATATAAGGGCGACAATTTTGACTGTTTTAAGGGTTCGAAGCAAAATTAAATTAACAAAATACAAAACAACCTTTTTGAACAAACTTGTAGTGGACAACTTAAAAATTACAAAAAATAGAGAGCATCGTCTTTTTTTCCCTTTCTTCAAATTGGCTATCTTGTAATCGTTACAACAGGCTGATACAGTTCTATTCGACGTTACAGATAAATAATTCTTTGATTAATTGTTTATAACTTGGACTTTGAATTTCTGCTGTTAGGAACTTCTCTACCTGCCATTTTTAACTTTCTTTAATTCATGCTGGTGGTTTTAATTTAAATTTGATAATAAAACCTTGTTTTTTCCCGTTTCTCCTTTAGCCTGATAAAGGATTTCTGGAAGATTTTTGTTTTTAATGAGGTGGAGTTCTCAGGGTCTCTGAACCAGTTAGAGTTTTTAATTTCTTTTAGGTGGGATTTCCTCTTTCTCTCATTGGGTTGTTTTTGCAAGTAGTCTTTTTGCTTGCCTTATGCTTGGTTTTCGCTTTCAGTATTTATTGAGTTTGTTAGTTACCCAAGATTCCAGGTTTTTTATAATGTGACTGTGATTTACATGCCTCTAAATTGATTTAGGCCTATAAAGTACTTCATTTTAAGCTTGTTAGGCATTGTACAACACATTCGTCTCTATCCATTACGAAAAAGTCAGAACTCATACTTCAGTTGCTACATTATCTTTGTAAATTCCACATAAATATCGTACATCTGCCACTCTATGCCTGAGATCGAACATGCGGCAAGCAATACCTGAATTTTATCTGCTTCCATGTCATGCACGTTGCAATTTATTCTAGACTGACTTTTGGGAACAACTACTCCTTTTTTACGAAACTCTTTCAATGCGGCTTTTCCTACCCTAGAGCTCACAGAACTAGTAAAAATAAAATAAAATGAAAAACTTTTGCACACTCAATATATCTGCTGCCTCATTGCTTGTAATTCCCTCATGACTTATGCGGCTATTTGACGAAGTTTTTTTCAGGGAATTTAGACAATTGAGGTCAATTTTCGAGGTGATCTAGGCTTGGAGAGCTTTTAGAGCTGCCTGACTGTCTAAAAGAATTATTATTGTTTGCAAACGCCTAGTTTTGTCGACAAGTGCTATTTGTAGGTTCCATTGTATCTCTAGGCTTGTATTTCCTCTTTTGTATTTTTGAATTCCACCGGTCTGCTTATTTAGCGTACTCTTGAAATTTCATCCAATATATGCAAAGTTCCATTTAATTATACTTTTAATCTAAGGTTGAGATGAAAAAGTCAGTGTCACGAGCGGGGTTCAAATCCTGCTCGAGACACTAACTTTTTCATCCCAAACCAAGCAAGGGCAGATCCAGGTTGATCATGGGGGGGGGTAAAAAACTTTAGATTTTTTTAAGACACAGGGGACCTAAAAACGTGCCAATCGAGAGAAAACTACACATTGTTTTTTGGCCCAATGCAATATTTTCTCCTCCTTCAAAGGGAAAAACTGAAAAAATAATTTGATTTAAAAACATAACTTCAATATTTTAATTTAAAAATGGAACATAATTTTCAAACATTTCCAAAATGTTTTTCCATCATAGTCTGCAATGTAAATGTTTTTAGTGACAAACATTAACGGATATAAAAAATTAATCACCGACTTATCGGTTATCACATTGAGAAATTGAATAAGAAGATTAGAGGACGAAATCAGTAAAGCACTAGAAGGACATGTCTTATCACGAAAAAAATCATGGTCTGCAATGTTTAGCACAAAACATAAAAGAAAAAAAAACTCATGGCAGTAAGGAGTGAGAGGTAGATTCTTTCTTTTGTGGAATCAATCCAGCAGTGCTAAAAATTTGCTACTTTAAAAATTATAGAATAATTTGAAAACCATGTATTATTATTTATTCTATACAAAATGTAACATCATAAACATATTGCAATAGGATAAAAAAATTAATCAATTGTTTTTGTTCCTTATTAACAATTGGTGTTAAATTAAATTAGATTCAGACTATTTTTTCCTAGACCACTGAAAATAATGAACATAAAATAATGGTTTACTAGTTAACTACCTAATTTGAAATTTTATTTAAGCTATTTAATTAATTATTTTCTTGAATTACTTAACTATTACTTTTTGGTAACAATGTGAAATTTACAGAAAAAGACGTGTGATGGCCATGCCATATTTATTAATAATCTATTTGTGTTTAGTGGCCTAATTGACCATGTTAATTATTTCAATTAATAATAATTAATTAGTGTCATGTAATAGAAAAATTAGTGCCATGAGTGGGATACGAACCCACGACCTTCGGCTCAATACGCCGCTGCTCGAACCTCTTGAGCTATGGTGACCCCAACTTAAAAGCTAAATCCCTAAACTTTTCATCTCAACCAAGACCTTATTTAAAAAGAATAATTAATTGAAATTTATTAATAATATACACAATTTTAAGGCTTTTGCTTTTAGTGTGATTTTTCTGTTAATTTAATGAAATCTTGGCATATTTGTAACAAAAAATTAAGAACGCCAACGGTTTCATTTTATTATAAAAAGGAAATTAATTTGATCTTTTAAACGAAAGAAATTAGGTTTGAAAGTACCATATTTGAGAAAAAATCCTGATTAAAAATGGGATTTTTTCAAATTGTGGTAACATTTAAAATACTGCTTGGATTTGAACCAAACTGAGCTTAAAAATTACAGGAAGAAGCCAGCTTAAAAACAGTACCAAAAATGTGAAAATCCAGTAATTACTGGCGTAGGAGGGAATAAAAACAAACTGAGCTGGTTATTGTGCGGGAGAAAACACAAAAATGGCAAAAAATTTGATTGAATTGTTTACTTTCATCGCCTATAACTCTACGACCCCCAGTCGATTTGGCTGAAAAACAATCCCAACCGTCCTTTATAGGATTCTTTATCACCCTGCCAAATTTAATTGCAACGCGATCAAAGATGCGACCGCTAGAGAGTGCTAGATTTTTGAAATAATTTTCCTAAAAATAAACATCAACTTACAGGTTTCTTGATATCAGATTGAGTGATCGAAGTATCGAATCGGGGGCAAACAAAGCCAAAGCATGACCAGTTAAGAAGAAACTGATTTAATTTTGGGAAGGTTTATCAGAGGTAACAGATCAAGGTTTAATAAACCTGAAATATAAGCCTCTTCACTTAATTAAGGCTATACTAAGACATATTACATACAGGGTGACTGGCAATAAGTGTCAAAAATTTCAGGAGGTGTTTCTACTCACCATATGAACAAAAAACTTCCTATAAATCCCTGTCCAAATCTCGGTAAAGAAGTAATTTCACGTTTTGGGTGTTTTTTGATTTTTCAACTTAAGTCCATTAAATTGTTTATAAACTTCAGAATTACTGACTGTAGAAAAATCTCGTTTGTGCTACCTGAAAGAACGTTAAATTTGCTGTAAGGAAACCTATTTACATTGCAGAATTGATGAAAAAATTCTGCACAAAACATTCAGAAAAAACAAAAATGTTGAAATTTGGAATCTTTTTAAAATGTTGGATTGGTAACTTTTAACAACTACAAAATACTTTTCCTGGAGCTTTGCAATTCCCTCAAAAGTTCTCCATTCAATTAGCTTCGAGCAATATACCCACCTTTTTGGATTGCGCTTCTGGAAGGCTCAAAATTTTTGCAATTTTTTGAAAAAAACTGGTGTCGATGAAGGGGGGCACGTTCAATTTTTCCAGAAAGTCCATCTGTTCTTGAGTTTCGTGTCAGTTCTTTAATCAGTCAGTTTGCTTTATAAACTGACAACCTTCTCAGGTTAGTGATTTAAATGTCCTTGTTTTCTAAAGCACATCTTGCTGATATGCATTTCACGGTTACTGCAAAGGTAATGCTACTGCTGCAAAGGGAGAATACCAAGCTCGTTTTCCATATTGAGACGTTCCAGCAGATCGCATCTTCCAATGACTTCATCAGAGGCCGAGGAAAACTGGTTCTTTCACACTTTTACGAGAGTGCCTCTGATGAAGTCGTTTAAATAATAGTTTCAGGCAATCAGAACATTCAAGGAAATTTATTTGATTTATTTTGGAAAGAATATTATGAGCTATCTTTATGATCATAGTGCATGATCAATATGTGCATAGTTAAAAATAGTAAAACAAGAATTTGCTTAATATAATATTTAATGGTTAAATAAATCGTGATATTTGTCCTTAAATAGATTGTAATGATTCTCTATTTTCGCTTTAAACATTTCATCTTCCATTCGAATGTGTATGTCAGTAACTTTGTGACTTGATATCGTTGACCACATAAAACCAAATTCATTCACATTCATTATATAAGGTCTGCTTTAATTTATAGATAACGCCGCCCATAAAAATTGAAGTTTCACTTTTTTATTCATAAGTGAGAAACGTCACTTTTCAACAAAATATTGTCCTGATCGAAATTCATATCTTTCAGGGATCGAAGGTATGACGGCGGAGGGGTTGAGGAAGGTGGCACCAGTAAAACATCATTTGCTCGATAACTTAAAGAATAAAAAAAAAAAAGTGAAACTTCTGCTTACATATCTTTAAAGATAGTATTTATTTTTTTGCTTTAAGGCCACAAAGAAATCTCAACTAGTTTATTGTTCCTTTTAGTTTTGACGAATAGTTAGATTCTATAATGACTGAAATGTGTTACCATCTTAGATCTTTCACTTTTATATTATTATTTTTTTGTTTTTATTGCTTTGGTATACAGACAAAAATGTTGAACAGTATTTACTAGTTGACCTGTTGTATTTGTTGTATTTGACATATGTTACTGTTGAAAAGCAAGGTAAAGACAATAATTTATTAATAGCACTTAAAACAAAAATTATTTTTATGCAACAAAATGTGTACTGGGTGTTTCATACCATCATGTGCATAAATCATATTGTTTTATATGGATTTGCAAATAAGTAAGTATTATAAAAATAAAAATTGTTATAATTTGTCATCAAAGGAATTTTTGATCTGTTTAATATTATTTATTTATTATATGACTTTGTCTCCGTTTTTATGTCTTTGTTGTTTTTATTAAACTACATGCATGGATTTTCATTATTTTAAAACTGTTAAATTAAACTTTATTGTTATAAAAGATTATGTTACAAAATAACAATAAATTATTCTAAATTACATATTTTGGCATAAAAGCACGGATTTTGATGTAACTGTTTTTGTAATTTGTTTAAAACATTATGAATTTCAATTTAAAAATAAGATTATGTATCAATAAACATAGTCACACTTGTTATATTAGTCCTCGAAAAACATTCAATCAATTTTGGCATAAATATAGACCGTTTTATAGAAATGTGATTGGTATGAAAACAACTCGCAATAATTTGTGTAATAACACGAGGTGGAGTTTTTTTAAATGGATAGTTGCACAACACATTTTTCCCGTTAGTTTATTTGGTTTAAGAAACCATTGTAGACTTGTTTACAAATTTTAGATTTGTATTATTATATATATTTTTTGGATCTGGCCATTAGATTTCTTGGCATTTTTTACAATCAGTATTTTTTTGAACAACACAAATCGAACATATTAATCACAATCGTTAAACAAAAAACTATATATTATATCAAATGATCAAATTTATTCTATTCCTTCCTTTTCGATTTATTTATTAATTGATCAAAATTTTTGTACAAATATATTTTGCATATCAGATGGGAAGGGGGGAGTATTTTTGAGCGAAAGGCCCTTTTTGTCCGGTGAGCTCAGAAGACTTTGTAATTTTTATGTTCGAATTTGAGATAAATTGCGATCTTATGTTGTACATTTTTGTATACATTATCTGAATAATGAATGTCCTGCTAGGACGCAAAGTTGAGTACCTGTTAAAAAATAAAATAAAGAGTATTGTTTGAAACAAATTTAAAAAAATATGTAAAACATTCCAAATGTTACTATGGTGTTTTGTAAAAAATAAAAATGTAGCATCTATTGAGTAGATTAAATATGTAACATTCCATTGCTTTAATTATTTATTCCACCCTTGAATTAAAGTACAGGTGATTATCTCAAAAGGAATAAACAACCGCTGCACTGCGCATTTTGAAAATGAACATAATAAAATGTACTTTAATGTTCTTTTGTTTTTATTACACTATTGTTTATTAACTTTAACCAGTTATTTGCAGTATTTAGTTTTAATTTTCGAATGGTCACACTGGACTACTTCTGTAACCTAGGGCATGTTTTTTCTACTTTGTTTTGCAGAGTTCACAAAACTGACAACCCTAGCCTTGTTCTATTCAAAAAATAATCTACTCGTCATCCAAAAGAGCCAAATATAAACAAAAATACAAAATTGAAGTTTATTCAGAGCCATTTTTTAAATTTAAGCTTTGCTTTAGTAGACCATTTTTATGGAAATAATTATAATTAAAAATACACTCTCGAGCTTGCCTTTGCTGAATATGTCTTAGTTTAATTAATGGTACATTAAATAAAACTTGGTATCATTCTTATATAAAGATAATATTTATTTAAAAATATGACAAGTTAAATAATATAAAAGGTATCCTTAAAAAACTACTAATATTCCACTAATGTGAACAATGGCCTTGCATTTCCATGGAAAGTAGGGGTAAGTCTGGTTTGTATGTAGTTTTTAATTTTAGGCACGATTCCAAGTTCTCATCGCTAAGCTGATTTCTTAATCTACTCTTGATAAAGTTCATGCTTGAAAATGATTGTTCGCATAAATATGTAAACCCAAATAATGAACGAACAGCAAATGCTAGTTTCTTCAGTTGATCATCATCATCCAGGTGTTAAAAATCAACATATCTTCCCTCGCCAGATCTTTCAAAGCAGAACGTTTGTGCTGTAAACTTAATTCACATTTATGTTTCTCGAATAGCTGTAAATCGGTTGAGCTCCAAAATTCTTTATTTTTTAAATCCAGCAACTGCATTTCAAAGCTGCCAATATCAATATTAAAGGGCAAAAAATTAATTTCTTTATCGTGGCATTCAGAGTTTCTTTTTAAACAAAGGCTAGCATCGCTTTGTTGTTTCTAGTCTTTGAACCTGCTGAGCAAAATTATTCAGGAAATGTCTGCACACATAGTGCTTCCTGATGAATAATACAATGGTAAGTAAGTATCTCATGATTATTTTTTTCTTTAAAAATAGCGACAATCCCATTTCTTGCACCTGTCATACTTTTCGCTCCTTGTCTGCACTAAACATTTACGGAAAGAGCCGCAGCCAAGAAGTCAAAGAGCCGCGGTTTGCTGACCACTGCCTTACAGGTCAGTAAAAAGTAAAGGTACAATAAGCAGAACGCTGCAGTGCCAGAGCACAAACCCTCACTTCTTAGGATTCATACATCATTTTACGTGCAGGAAGTTTTTTTTTCAGAGGTCTTATGTTCGAAAATTTGAATTTGTGTCAAAGGAGCAGAAAAAGGTAAAAATTGGGTGATCTGCACCATTTTTGATTAATTTGTTAATAGTTTTATGCATTCTTATAATGATTATTTGGAGATCGTGAGATGCGGACTTGTGTGATGTAGGTTTTAGAAAAACATTTTCTATATTGTGCCAACGTTTCAATCTTTATTGAGATCATCTTCAGGGCCTGGGATTTACACACAAGAATGGCACAATTACGCAGGAAACAAACACTTTGAATGAGTAGAAATACTTTGATTGAATATATAAAAAAATATATTTTGCATTGTATAAATTCTTCTTTCACATCCAAAATGTAATTGTTATATGTAAACAATGTTTGTAAATCCCAGGCCCTGAAGATAATGACCGCATCTCACAATCTCCGAATAATCATTGACCAATGGTCACTAATCACCACACACTTAATTTTAATGAATAAAATTCCAGGGGTGACAGTGAGAATTGAACCGATGACTGCTGGGTCTACAGGCCAAGTCTAAAACGCTAACACTAGGTTTTTTTTTTTTTTTACCAAATTCAGGGCCGCTGAGATCTGATCCCACTCCTTGCATTGATGAGTGCCATGTCAATTTCTTTCAATTATGGCCACCAGTCAGTCCCCTTAGGTGTCAGAAAAAGTCCAGAGGCGACGGTGGGGATTGAACCCACGACCGCGGGATCTACTAGCCGAGAGTCCTTAACCACTTCAACCAAGCCTTAACCACTCGGCTACCCCCCTATTGTGTTAATGCGAATACCTCCTACACATCCACACTAGAATGTAGGGAAAAGAACTCGTAGTTCTACGCTCTAAATAATAATAAATTCTGTCATTAATTTTTCAATTCAAGGTTTTACGATAGAACTATTGTTATTAGCAAAATAAAAACTACACTATATAACTAAAAATGTTATATGTTCCAATTGTTTCCTATATATTCTGTTAACAATAAACCTACAGAAATATTTTTGAAAAATGGCCTAGGGTGACTGTACTGTGAGGTTAAGTGCTTTTCTTTAAGCCATTGACTTTCAAAAATTGCTGAATTTTTAACTTTTTTCCTTAACATATATGGATTAATAAAATTTACATTTCAACAGTCATTTTTATTTTATGAACATACAATTTTTTTTACTTTTACAGACATAAATTATTATTTTTAATATCAATCGTTCGAAAAAGTCATGTATAACTTTCTGGCATAACAAAAAATTCTGAACAAAATATTCCTAAAAAGGTAACATATAAACAATTAAACAATAAATAACAACTTTTCTAAAAAAATATAGATCGTATTTCATAGTACGTAAAATGGTTCGAGAATTGTTTAAAATTGTATTTATTAGCTGTTAAACAATATCAGTCTTGTTGAAAATAAATTGACTAATTAACGATTTTAAATGTTAAGTATTTTGGCCAATGTTGAGAGCCCTAGAAGTTATACCATTTGTCGTTTTTTGTACGGCGTCAAAAACTGTAGAACTGACAGCGCCGAACATTCGGTTCACCAAACCATTCGATTGTACTTTCTTTTCGATCGGTTGTGCTCGGTTTCCTAAAGAAATTACGATTACAAATTGAAAGAGAAAATATATTACAATTTTTCAGCGTACCTATCAAATAGTTTTTCAATATTTGATTGATTTCAAGCGCTTTTTCCTGATGTGGATAATGGCCCGCATCGTTAACAATTTTAATTGCGAATTTCTCAAAATAATCACACGACTTAATTATGCTTTCCATTTGCACCGCGTTGTCTTTATTTCCAACTATCAATAAAGCAGCCACTTGGTACACTTCCTTCCGCCTCAGCCTCCAAAATGGCAAGACTCTAAAATAATTTAGAGCACCGATCCAATCTTCTAAAATAAAGTAAATTAGATTGAATTTAAGGAAGTAATATGTGATCTTACCTCGCCTTGAGAAGGAGTATCTGTACGCTGCTAAAATTGATTGATCCTCAACACTTTTACCTAGATGGGAATGAAGTAAATTCAACAATTTGAGATCCTCATCCATGGCACTTTTTTCAGGTAAAAAAGGCAGTTGACAAAACTCCACCCACCTTAATAAGTATCAAATAAAAGAATGATAAAAAGTAAATTAAAAACAAAAGAAAATCACCTGGAATTGATCTTGTACGATGAAGGAATTGTGTCCCAATAAAAATCAGGGTGTGGAGCCGATATCGATACGAATTTATCCACTATATCAGGATTTGTGTGTACAATGAACCAGCCGATCAAAGCACCGATGTCATGCCCGATCAATGTGCATCTTCTATATCCCAGTATCGACACAAATTCACATATTTCTTCGATTATGTTCGTTATTTGGTAGTTGTAAGTGGATTCTGGCTTGTCCGAATCTCCGAACCCTTTAAGATCTAAGGCCACGACACTGCCGGAGAACATTTGTTAATTATAATTAATAAACCAGAAATGAATGAAATATTAAATACCGAAAGTGTCCGGCTAATTCTGGTATTTGATATCTCCATGATATCCAACAATCGGGAAAACCATGAAGTAATATTAGTAAAGGTTTACTTTTTGGGCCTGCATCAACGTAATGAAGTTTAACGCCCTAAAATAAGAAATAAAAAACATGAAACATAGCAAATTATAACGAATGTTCAGTGTAGGGTGAAATTTAGAGTCACAAGGTTTATTTATTTTTTTTTACAGCTTGATCTTTATACATGGTTGTTTGTGATTATTTTTAATCTGGTTTTCATTATTTTGATCATTTGCATTTCAGTTTCTTGCTATGCTTAGCTGTGGGTCTGTGCACTGTCTTTTCACAAATTTGTAAACTCCCTTCAGAAGATGAACGCTGCAACTTATTTGGCGTAATAAAAAAGTGACGATAGGAAAACCAGCCTCATCACAATAGACACAACTGGATCTGCAGGGTGATAAACCTGAAATTTTGTTGTTTCTAATTATTTTTGGTCGTCCTATCATGTCTTGGATTGCTGAGCGTGGTCCCACAGCTGGTATGGAGAAGATAACCCCTCCAACACACGATAAGGACTATGGAAAACTACCATTAGTATCATCAAAGAAAAACCAACATTGGAATAAAACTAAAATGGAGATGTAGCAACAGTCCCGATGAAAAACCATCCGATACTCATGGCCTCAAGATAACTTGAATAGGATGTTTAACAATTTCCAAAAAAACTTAGGTACCAAAAAAGAATTGGAAAAAGAGGAAAACACCTCCTTTAAGAAAGGCACCATCTTTTGGTACAAAGACGGATCTAGAAGAAGGTATTGGGGTAGGAGTATTTCTACTGGAACCAAATACTCAGAACCCATGGGAAAATACAGTTTCTTCCAAGCTGAGGTCCATGCAATTGAGAGATGTACTCAACTCATCTTGACTAAAGGGTACAAAGCAAGAGCATAACTATATGTCGGACATCAAAACATTAACCTCAAATATCTTGGTTTAAAGATGGTGTTGAATTGCAAAACCAAATTAAACATAATAGGTACGCCGAACGAAGTGTACTGGGTCCCAGAACATGAGGTAGTAGAAGGCAATGAGAAAGCGGACGCTCTTGCAAGAAATGGGACTGATATACTGCTGATAGGATCCAAGTCTTTCTTTGGCATAGGAATCAACACGAATTGTTCCTCAGACAGAAGGATAAAAAGAAAATGAGGGAACAATGTAACTCACTCATTTGACACAAACAATCCAAGAACGTTTGAAGTGACAGAATGCATTAAAGGAAGCAGGAAAAAACTGCGAAACCTAACAGGACATTGCAAACTAAACAGCCATCTGAAGAAAGCATAACCCAACATGGCATGTGCAGATTCTGCAAAGAAGCAGAGGAAACACCAACACACCTACTAACAAAATGTGGTGCTACATTTGCTCAGAGAAGGAAGTGCTTTCGAGTGAACAACATAACTAGAAGAAAATCAACCATTCAAACTAATCAAATTTATTGCTGAACATGGACTCACCAGTGTGCTATAGGTACATAAGGGGGATACAACAGCGATGGGCGCACACACCCTCAATATTATATCAAAAGAAAAAAGAAACCACAGAATGCATCAAAGAAAGCAGGTAAAACGGAATTCTAACACTTCAGACTAAATGTACATCTGAAGAAGGCATAACCCAATATGGCATGTGCAGATTCTGCAAAGAAGCAGAGGAAACACCAACACACCTACTAATAAAATGTGGTGCTACACTTGCCCACAGGAGGATGTGCTTTCAACCTTTGAAACTAATCAAATTTATTGCTGAACATGGACTCACCAGTGTGTTATAGGTACATAAGGGGGATACAATACCTCTTGATGGGCGCACACACCCTCAATATTACATCAAAAGAAGAAAAGAAGAAAGAAACAACAGAATCCATCGAAGAAAGCAGGAAAAACTGCAAATCATAACACTGCAAACTGAATGGACATCTGAAGAAGGCATAAACCAACACGGCAAGTGCAGATCCTGTAAAGAAGCAGAGGAGACACCAACACACCTTCTAACAAACTGTGGTGCTACACTTGCCCACAGGAGGATGTGCTTTGGGATGTACAACGTAACTAGAAATTAAACCTTTGAAACTAATCAAATTTATTACTGAACATGGACTCACCAGTGTGCTATAGGTACATAAGGGGGATACAACAGCTCTTGATGGGCGTACACACCCTCAATATTACATCGAAAGAAAAAAGAAACCACAGAATGCATCAAAGAAAGCAGGAAAATCTGAATTCTAACACTTCAGACTAAATGTACATCTGAAGAAGGCATAACCCAATACGGCAAGTGCAGATCCTGTAAAGAAGCAGAGGAGACACCAACACACCTTCTAACAAACTGTGGTGCTACACTTGCCCACAGGAGGATGTACAACGTAACTAGAAATTAAACCTTTGAAACTAATCAAATTTATTGCTGAACATGGACTCACCAGTGTGCTATAGGTACATAAGGGGATACAACAGCTCTTGATGGGCGCACACACCCTCAATATTACATCAAAAGAAGAAAAGAAGAAAGAAACAACAGAACCCATCGAAGAAAGCAGGAAAAACTGCAAATCATAACACTGCACACTGAACGGACATGTGAAGACAGCATAAACCAACACGGCAAGTGCAGATCCTGTAAAGAAGCAGAGGAGACATCGACACGCCTACTGCATGATAGCATTGTGTTGAAAAGAAGAAGGAAACAACAGAATGCATCAAAGAAAGCAGGAAAAACTGTGAATCCTAATACTGCAGACTGAATAGGCATCTGAAGAAGATCGGTGTCATCCAACTCGGCAAAGAAGCAGATCAAACACAAACTGTGGTGCTACACTTGCCACAGGAGGGGCACACTCTGAAACTGGGCGTATTGAACAGTTCCTTGATGAACTAGGACTCACCGGTGTGCTACACGCACAGAACAGGGGGTACAACAGCTCTTAAAGGGCACATTATTAAAATATAATATAGACTACAACGTCAGGCAGAACAAACTAGCCTCTGTTAAAGCCTCTCCAATTGGACAAGGTATACAATAAATACCTGACGATTAAGTAGGGTAAAGTTCAACAAATTTGGCAGCAAAAATATACTTTTTCCCCATTATTTTTGTTTTGGGAAAAAAGAAACAGTACAAAAATTAAATTTTATTAGTGTAATCCGAATTACCTTTATCTTGATATAAGAATGCTGACCAAAGGAAGCATCTGTGAGGCATCCGGGAGGATTTCCGTCTGTAGCACTTGTTGCTTTTGCAGAGGAAGTCCATAGGTTTTTCAGAAGCTGTCTGAAAAGGTACCAGGCTGCCCAAACAACAGCTATAGCTTTCATCTTGACAACATCGTACGTCGAGATCTTTACGATGTCTTTGAATTTAGCATTCACTCCCATAATAGCTCAATTCCTAGTTGCAATACTATTCGGATACTCTTCTACTGGCCTTATCTGAATTATATTTTTTATCAATCGTGTGCTCCTCTGCTGCTGATTTGCCGTGACGTGGTCGTTAATACGAAAGATCTAAAGTTCAATACTAAGAAATTCATCGTTTTGTTATCAAATATCAATGTTTGCCTTTATTTTTGAAATTTGACTCCGTCTCTGTTTAATTTTGCATTTACTGTCATGAATTTTACATTGGGGATCTTTTTAAAAAGTTATAGAATATTATTAAAACACGAATTACCTACATTTAGAGAAAAAATTTCTTATTTAAGCAATCAAATAAAAAATATTTTAATTATTCAACCAATAGGGTGAATCATAAAAAAATGACGGTTTTTCTTGATAATTAAAAAATAATTTTATTTTGACACTTTTTTAATATTGAAAGTAACCAGTTCCTTCTAAATTATTCGAAAAATTAATTTACAAAAGAATTATTTCTGTTGCTTCTTCAAAACACCTTAAGCATACCATCAATTTGGTTTCCATGGTGGTTCTCTTAAGGAGAGAATTTTCACAGAAAACCAGGGATGGGAAACTTCTGAGATGGAAGAAGTGGTTGCAAATGCGCCACAAGGGTCAATAGATGCTGTTGCACACAATTTTTACATCTCAATTAATAAGAGATCATCAATTTGGTTTTCGAACCCATCATTCCACTACTCATCAACTTCACAGAGTTACAGATTTCATTACTTTGTTTCGAGCAGAAACTGTACGCGACTGGCATGTTTCTAGATATGTTTCAGGCCTTCGGCAAAATATGGCATGAGGGATTATTATACAAATTAAAATTATTTTTACCCTAGGCCATCTGATTATACAATCATACCTAAGGAGAGATTTTTCGCAGCAAACCAGGGTATGGAGACTTCTGAGATGGAAGAAGTGCTTGCAGGTGTGCCACAAGGGTCAATACTCGCTCTGCAGTTGTACACAATTTTTACATCTGAATTATAATAGACCATCAATTTGGTTTTCGAACCCATCATTGCACTATTTATCAACTTCACAGAGTTACAGATTTCATTAGTCATTCTCAAACAGAAACTGTACGCAACTGGAGTGTTTCTCAGATCTTTGACAAATTATCGCATGAGGGATTATTACACAAATTAAAATTACTTTTACCCCAGGTCTATTATATGATTATACAATCATACCTTAAGGAGAGAAATTTCGCAGTAAACCAGAGTATGGAGACTTCTGGGATGGGAAGAAGTGGTTGCAGATGTGCCACAAGGGTCATTACTCGCTCCGCTGTTGTACTCAATTTTTACATCTGAATTAATAATAGACAGTCAATTTGGTTTTCAAACCCATCATTCCACAACTCATCAACTTCACAGTTACAAATTTCATTATTTTGTCTTGAGCAGAAACTGTATGCGACTGGCGTGTTTCTAGATATTTCTCAGGCCTTCAACAAAGTATAGCATGAGGGATTATTATACAAACTAAAATTATTTTTACCTCAGGCCTATTATCTACTTGACTTAAGGAGAGAATTTTTGCAGTAAACCTGGGATCGGAGACTTCTGAGATGGAAGAGGTGCTTGCAGGTGTGCAGCAAGGATCAATACTCGCTCTGCTGTTGTACACTTATGGTATGACCACAAATGCAAATGATGCCGCTACATTAACAATCCCTCTTCTATACAAGCTTCACTTTGTTACAAAACCTCATATCAACAATTGAAAAATGGAGCAATCTTTGAAAAATAAAGTTTAACCTCTCAAAGTCACAACATACCATCTTTACATACTGTCGTGAGATTTGTTCTAGCATATACTTACGCTGTGAACCTGTTCCTCAATCCGACAAATTTAAGTTACATACATAGAAGACTTACTTACATTTGATAGAAGACTAACGTGAAGTCCACACACACGATTAAAAAACAGACACTGAACAAACCATTAAGCTTTATTATCTACACAATCGACAATCAAAATTACCATTAAAATCAAAACTTTTGACATACTACTCAAACCTATTTGGATGTACGGATGCTAAGCTTATGGATTGGTCAAATATTCCAATCTTCAAAGATTACAAAGTTTTCAATCCAAAATTTTAAGACTAATTGTTTCTGCCCCTTTTTATATAACCAATAACACATTTCACAGAGATTTTACATTTCAACTGTTTTTTTCATCCATCAAAACATATCACAGACGTTTTCATAATAAATACAAAATCGCACTAACACACAAATAGGTTTACTCCATTCCCCACAATTGCCACGTAAATGTACAAAAAGAATATAGATAAGAGACCTCTTAAATGATTAATATCATTTTATTAATTCAGAGAGGTTGCCAATGGTTAGCTTTCTCTAATGCCCATAATGCCATAAACATAAATTGAAATCCAATCTACTGGTTGTATATGCTACATGTACAGTTGTAGGTAAAAAAAAAGTCAATGTAGATACCATTGTGTTCTATGGCTTGTTGCCATCTTGAGGCCAGGTGTTAGGTTCCTTCACATTATCACTCTTTCGGTTTTGAATGGAAGAATTCTACAACCCCATTTTGAACATTTTCCAGAAAATTAAAAGTTTTTCCTTGAAACTTTTCAAGGACCCCATTGAACCATGGGATAGGGATAAAAGAGGCGCCACAAGGCCTTCTGAACCACAACTTAAATGGATCAGTTGTGCTCACTTATTTTGTAAACTCACTGGCCAGCTTCAGGTTGTTAATCAGCCTATATAGCTTTGTCAGCTGCTCCTTAGTGTAGGATCTTGCTTGTGGTTTTTCCTGTCCTAGTTGCAAAAACCTGCACCTACATAGATCTTCACAGAAATATAAAATGTGTTCTGCGGTCACTTCCTCTTCCTGGCAGTATCTGCAAAGTGTTTTTTCTGTCTGTGGTCCTATCTGGTGCATGTGCTTTCTTATATGGCAGTGCCCTGTCAGGATTCCAACCAGAATCCTGATGCGGTTGCCTTCCAGTAATATTGCTTTGTATGTTTTGCGGATGGCCCTTCTATGAATCTGTTCACGTGCCAAGCTAAGGTGCTAAGCCATAGTAGGGTTCACGGCCTAGGTCCATATTGGCTCCGTGACTGAAACAGATGGTTGTGGGAAGGTGCTATGTCTGAGTGTAAGCAGGGTGAGGGAGAAGCTCAATTCTGTCATGTGTTGTTTTGTGATATGAGAAGTGTGTGGTTGAGTGTTGTCTTGTTGAAACAAAACCCGATTTCTATTTACTAATCATGGGTAAAGCTGGGTCAAAACATCAAAAATTTTTGTTACTACTCACAATAAAGTTTCTCATCATTGGTTTGACCTAGAACGAACTCATTATGAATTATGACCTTGTAATTTCAAAATGCAGAGAGCATTGTCTTTTTGTTGAATTGCCCTCGTTTAGCGACTGGCAGAGCAGGCTGATTGCAGACTAGCCATTGTTTCTTGGTATTGGACTTTCTCCAATAAATCCACTTTTCATTGCACGTTCTCCAATAAATTCACTATTCCTTTGATGAACCGAAGGTCATTTGGGTTTGTCGAAAGATGTTGACAAATTTCTACTCGGCGTCGTCCCTGCTCAACGCATGAGGAACCACTCTTAATGAGTGATGAGTGATTACACTTTCTTCAAGTTATGCAGTCCACCATTTATGGTGGATTGGGGAGCTGAGCTCCAAGTTTTTTGTTTTTTTTTCTAGTAAACAACTATATTCTCTAACAAAACACAATTTCTCATATTGTACATTCTATTTGTTAACACTGCTTAAAAGCATAATATGTAAAAAGTTTATATAATGGTACCTTGAGATATGAGTGTAATTTGTTCTATCACCGAGCTCAAGTCAAATGCTTGTATCTCAAATCAATTTTCCCCATTGAAATTAATTTAATTCATTCCATGACTGAGCTTGTAAGCCAAAACACTCATATAATCAATTTTCCTCATCGAAATTAATTGAAATGAGATTAATTTGTTCCAGCCCCCGTAAAACAACTCCATTTTGTAATAATAATGTATCTATAATAAACAAATATTGTATGCAAACAATCTAAAACTAAATACAAACAAAAGTACATATAAAGCAGAATCTAAATAAATAGATTTGGTGGAGTTGATTAGCTTATATGTACTACAAATTAGATGCTTCATTCATTTTTGATGCCTCGTTCTGAAAAAAATTGTATGCTGGAGCATTAGTATCTCCAACTGTATCAATTAGTATCAAGGTACCACTGTATACTGATTTCTGCTAAAATTGGGGTTAGGGAGGCAGCATAAAATATAAATTAATCAAAGATGTGTTGGTGGTAGTGAGCTGGTCTGAAAATTGTAGTCGAGCAGGAAGGTGGTAGTGCTATTTGGTAGCCCGTGCCAGTAATAGTGTTTATATAACGTAAGAATTTTTTAATGGCCCCAAAGCTTTATTAATGGCTCCCCCGTATATCCTTCAGGTCAAAACTTTTCCTATCCCAGCCTGCATAAAGCCTTCACAGCGAACAGAGGACATATTTTGCTGTTTCTTCTTCCTGGCAATATCTGCAGAGGTTTATTTTTTACTGCTCTGACTTTATACTGAGCATAGCACAGCAATACTACTATCATTCTAGTCCTAACATGGCCCACTGCCGACGGGTCTATGCTTTTGGCTATTTGATATGCCACAAAAGGGTTCGGGCTGATAATTGTTCTCATCAAACTTTCTTTGGCCTTAACATGGAAAATGATTAAAAAGATCAATTTTTAAGTAAGATATTCTCATTTTTTAATGTTGTTTTATTTGTTTAATTACTTTCTTAATGTACTAAAAAGTAAACATGACCAAACTAACAGGATAACTAAAACTAGTAGTATTACCAAACGTCAATTCTCCAAGAAATGTGTAATATTTCGGAAAAAATGTCTTGAAATTTCTGTCACTCATTGCATGGAAATATGAAAACTTTAAACACTGTAAAAATTGAATATGGCAAAATACCACAATGGAACTGACAGGCACGAAAAGTGAGGATATGAAGAACAGAATGATCAGAAGTCAGAAAAATGCTCAATTTTAAGCAGAAATGACCAAACCGTAGCCTTGAACAAATATGAAAATGACCGATCTGTGTCCGTATTTCACTCAAACGATTAAGGCTTTACGCCATCTTCAGTGATGAACTCGACTCGGTAAAACTGTGTCTTAGTGATCAGTGTCAATCAGTTCAACAAGCTACAAGTTTATCACTTTGCATACTTCAACAGAAATCACATCATTTTTGATTTTAGTTATGTTTAAAAAAAATTTAAATTCATGTATACTTGTAGGGATTTGAACAATCTACCACTTCTTGAATTTTCTGCAATTTTTCTTTTCTGAATTAAATTTGAATTTTTTCCAATTGGCTAGTCGTGAGATGTAGAACCGGAGCCTTGTTAAAAAAAAAAAAAAAAAAAAAAAAAAAAAAAATATATATATATATATATATATATACTAGGAATTTTGATGTTTAGCAATTTATTTAAACTAAATAAACATTACAGATCCGAAATTTGTTTAAAATTATTTACTAATTAAAACAATATAGTAGACGCTTGGGAAATATTCTCAACTTTTCTGAGAAACTAGAAGGAGAAATGATAAATCGCTAATTTAGTAGATAAAATCGATGGGAAGAGTTCAAAATTTGTTAATGTCGTAAAATTGGCGGTTGCAGCCTGTCTTACATTTTCTTATTGAGCTTACAACAATTTGAGATTTTTATTAAAGTTTCTTTTTATTTTAACCTGTAATAATCGTTTATTTATTGGACCGAAAATAATCCATTAAATTGACCATAGGGTAAATAGTTTCGAACGTTTGCCGCCCAACAATTATGAAATATCTAATTAATATGTCAACTGAACGAATTTTGACTTTCACATTTTCACTTCGTTTATGCAAATCATAAGTTAGATCGATATTTTTTACAATCGTATCCGCTGACGAAAATCTCTTGAAAAAACAAAAACTGGGTTTTAAGTATGTCGGAGTAATCGACGGGAATGGTTTATTCTTAACAATATGGAGGACCTGTAGCTAGACAGCTGTCGCTATTGATACATTTTACTTCAGAAATAAACAAAAACAATGGAACCATGTGTTATTTTAATCACCATGAGTTTTGCAAGCTTCAAGATCAGGTCTCACGGTTCAAAATTTTTAATCCTGCTATTTTAAGTCCGAACAAACACGATAGTCATGTACAAGCTGCACGTATGGATACTCTGAACTGGGAGGAGCGTCGGAGGCAAATTTTGTGCATAAAATAAGAATTAATATAATAGAGGATTGAAAAAAAAAGAAAAAAGTATAGGGAATTTGCCTAGTGTGATATGAACCAAGACTGCTGGGTTCTTAAAGAAGAGGAAGGACCTCGACCGAACCCTGGCGATATAGCCTGTTGGCTTCAGAATGTCATACCATCGCCACAAGTAAACGGGGAAGACGGTTGTCCATTGGGAAAGACGTGCTATGAAATCCCTGAGGGGCTGAGGGGTCCACAACCCGGTGATACTTTGTGCTGGCCCGGTAAAGGGAAATCGGGACCCTGTGCTGGAACGAAATCCGTGTGGGAGGCGAAAAGGAACCCAGCAGAAGGGGGTAAAATAACGTGGGAAGGTCGCACAGCGGAAATACAGGAATTATTCAACGTCTACTCGCCCAAAGCTGCAGGAAATAACAGAGTCTTGCCAAAAGGTGACAAACCGTCTGCCGCCGCAGGGGAAACATTTAGACCAGGAAAGGTCGCCGAAGAAATCAAGTGTTCTTCCGAATCAAAACCTCTGTTTCAGTCACAGGCTAGTTTCTTCCCGATGAATCCACAAATGGATCCGTGTTCGCCGTGTAAGCCAAATTTTTTCAACCCGAACTCTATGGCCCGGTCGATTTCAGCGGTATCGAGTTCGTCCTCTGCTTCGTCTTCCTACGGAAAATTCAGATTCAATGCAAATTTTTGCAATTGCAAAATTCCACTTCCACCATGGTTTAAAGAAAAGAAACGCAAAAAGCAAAACAATAAAAAGACAGCACCTCCTCCTCTCTGCGCGGTAACCTGCGGAAATCCAAAATGTGCCGCGGCTAAATTCACGAAGCAAGAGTATAAATGTATCCCGATCTCGAAAGGATATTACGACGATCCAAAACCCGGCATTTGTTGCTATCTGTACGGTCAAACAGTTTTCAATACCTCTGACAAAAAGAACAAAACAGAAGACAGCAACTTCAACTTTTCGAGTAACTCGTGCCCGACCTACAGCATCAGTTCTACCCGGCATCATCCTTTCCGACCGCCCCAACAAGTCCAGTTGATGAAACCTGTGGCAAAGCCTACGGTCGACAACGTCAACGATTCTTTCTTGTTGAACATATCTAAAAAAGACCACTGCGGAAAGCCGGCTAAGCTCAACTTGTCTTTCAAGATCCCTAAGATGAAAATCACTTACAAATACGACGCCGATTCTCAATTTCCAGAACAAACCCAGCGAAAGGACAAAAAGGCGGGCTCGGCGGAGAAGAAAAAAAGCGCCAAAGGAAAGAAAGGGGGTAAAGGGAAGAAAGGAGCATCTAAAGGGAAAAAGGGAAAGAGCGCTGGTAAAAAAAAGAAAAAGTAAAAACGTAAAAACGGTTTAGATTTATGTTGCAAAGACAATATTGGTTGAATAAAGTACGTCCTATGTTTCCAACATAGTTTATAACTTCTTAGTCTACGAACCACCCTATCAGTAAGATTACAGAAACATCTTTTGGAAATCCACTAAATCATTCAGTAAACAACAGCGATCAATTTACTTTCTAGATGGGTCCTTCATATTTTTGACTTATTACATAAGAGAAGCAAAATATTCACGATACTTTGCTATTTTAATCACTGGAAAACGCATTCATTGTCATTACAAAGGATGAATTTGTGTACCATTTTCCCCAGACTTTATAAGCGTACTTAAGTTGATTTTAAACATAATCGTACATAACTTAAATAGTTATGGGTTTAAAAAAAATTTCGCTCCAGTCTGCTAAAATAAAAAAATTGTTTGTATTTTGGAGGAAAACTCATTAATGATTATGATAACGATTGTAGGAAAATGACGATTTAATTGAGGGAATTAAGAGCGCCATTGCAAAAATTCCAATATTTTTCATCATCGTGATTGTCTTTGGCTGTTATGAAATTCTATACGATAAAAAAGTCAGTGCCACGAGCGGGATTCGAACGCACGACCTTCGGCTTAGCCATAGCCAATACATTTCATAAATATTAATTAATTGAAAAAAGTTAATTGGTCAAACGGACCGCGAACTGTAATTGATTGTTAGTTATATACTGCGTTGATACAACTGAAAAAAAATCTATGGTATTTTATTTTTAACTAATGTGCCTAGCAGACAAATTATTGATGTGTACGGTCATAAATTAAATGTTAAACCCATTTAAAATAATTAAAGAATTACGGTCGTAAAAGACAAAGATATTAGCCCCACTTTCCTTTCGCCACTCCTGCCAAACGTTATCGCGGATTCCATTTAATTCAATGCCCTTTTCTTAGTCAATCGTTCCCGTTCGCAATGGTGTTACGGATTTGTCTTCTGCTTCTGCTCTCAGGTAATTTTCGAAAAAAAAAAATCAACATGACTCGAACTCGTAAAACCGTGGTCAAAATCACAACAAGTTTACCAAGTTTACAAAAATAATACACGTACTCTCATAAACAAACAAACAAAAAAAAAAAAAAAAAAAAAATACAAGTATACCTGCAGTAAAATATTTTGATGATAAAATATAATTTCTACTGTGTATATAAGTTATTCTTTAGTATAAATAAGACTTTCAATACATCTTAGACAATTTTTTTTTTTTTTTTTTAGCAAGCAAACTGTACAACAAATATATGAACAATGATAATCTCACATTAAACATTAGACTTATTTTGTCCTGATATTCTTAAAAAATATATATTTCTTAATTAAAAATTTGCTAAGTGGAGGGATTCATCAGTGTTGATATTTTATTTAAATAAATCCAGTCAAGGCAACAACTACTGTTTATTTCAAAAATTAATGTCAAAGTGGGATGAAAATAAATAAAATAACGGACGGTTTTGCTGTTTCCACAGAGCTTTAATGTGACACCTTCATGTTTTTTACAAAAGAGTAAATTAAGCGTGTATTTTAACGAATCGTTTGCAGAAAAATGATGCGACCTTTCTGCACGAAACATCCTGCATAAAAACGTAAACAAAAATTCTGACATGAACAGATCAGGTCGGTGTATAAAAGTTCAAAAAATAATAACGAAACAGAAAAAGTTTGATTTTGTTTCTACACAAATTGTTGAAAACAAAGAATGGACCATGTTACAACTGTTTTTCCTATTTATATTCTGTTGATATAACTAAAAAAGTAAACAAACAAAAGAAAACGCATTTGTAAAAAATTTCAACCAAAGTTTTAAGACAAAAAAAAACCTAGTCCAAATGTAGATTTTTCCGTATTTTTCATTTTGTAAACGGGCAGATCGTCAGCGGTGGCACTTCAAGTCATGGATCTACAGCAGACTTTTTCATGGTCGTCCTAAAACTAATTCCAATTTTTCAATTTTTCACTCTTTCCTTTCGTCTACATACGGCTCAGTTCGAGAAAGCCATGAAGGCCGTGTCAGGTATATCACAATATCCGTTACCGATGGCCTCACGAAAACGCTCAAGATTTCAATTACTTGACTGTCAGATTCAAAACTATCTTTCGACAACTATATTATTTAGCCTGGGGGAAAAAATCGTCTTCTATTTCAATTATTAACAATCCAATTGAAATCGGCACCTTGATAAATCTCAATTTCGTTTACATGTGAAAACAAAATTTATGAATCTTTAAACAGTTGTTAGTACTTTTTGTATATAAAGACATATTCGTGTATATGACGTTTTAAAGAAACTTTTCTTTGTTTAATTAAAAAAAAAAAACTCGAAATTTCTCTTTCCTTGATACAAAATGTCAAAAAATAAGTTGTAATTTGATCGTTACCGTCTGACGCGTTTCGTCATTTCGCCATCTTCAGTGTGTCTGCCTAGCGTCTGTAACGACAAAATTATGGTTCATGACCCCGATCAGACTTTGAAATCATCCATTGCCAATATTGGCTTAAGAATAGCGGATTTATTTGACCATACGATCTCGCCTCGTTTTAAAATCCTATTTTCCCTAGCTACTGTTTGTTTTCAACCTTACACCTACAACCACTACAGATGACCAAATGAAAAGCCCAATCGTTTAAAATTTATAATTTTAACTCGTATTTTTGAAAAATATTACAACAATACAATAAGATTAACGTCGCATAAAACTGAAACGTTTTTTCCTGGTTTTTTAAAAAGCTTCTGCTTAATTTTGAATACAATTGTATTCAGGGTAGACAGTGTCCTTTGTAGATAATTTGTTTTAAAAGATAAAAGGGCTAAGTACATTGTATTAAAAGTCCAATAAAACAATGGAACAAAAGCTCACCCTACAGTAAGTAACCAGATAACCCTTTGTATGAACAGCAGGAAGTTTTAAAATACCCTACTTGCAACCAAACAACCGGGAAAAAAGCTACCTAGTTCTCTCAGCTAATTTTCTAGCTGCAGACAAAACAGCATAGAAAGACAATGAAGCTTTAAATGATTTCGATACAATATTTCACAATCTGAAGTTACCATAAAATTCTTGGGTTCATCCATAATTCCTATAGTACACAATCCGTCTAATTTTAAGACCAGAAAATTACCATCTATCAGTCTTATTTCTACTTCTTTAGCCTTAGATCTACTTATATTTCTAAGGCTAAAAAAATGAATCTTTATGAATAAAACATGTTGCCTATTGGATTTAAGAGACAAAACACAGAAGAAAGGTATCATCTCTACCAGTTTCTAGATTGATCGGACTAAACTAAAAAAAAAAAAAAAAAATCAACTCTAAAACTACAAATCTAAGCCTAAATCAAGTCTTGAGTTCATCCAAATGTTACACCGACTTTATATTAAATTCCAAGACCTAATGATTTCATTCATTTCCAAAGCTCTAAAATCTAGATACAGTAAATTTCAATCAACCATCCTGACTTTCTCATTGTGCCCATCCAGTCGATTCTCCCAAATGGATGAAAATAAGGTGACACCAAGTGTTTTGGGACAACTCCTGAGTTTAGATGGAAGACCCATCAATTAATCCTCAATACATTAACTTATTAGGTGCAACTATTTACTTGTTCTCTGTTAAATTACTACATTTAATTCAAATTTATTTTTACTACAGCATTCACATTATGTTTTAATTGATAAAGAAAAAATTAATCGTGTTGCACAATAAAAGTATCTTTTTTTTACAAGCATCCATTATTAATGGAGAGGAAAACGGAACTTCAGTCTTAGAAAGCCGACTGGCCAAGTTAAGGGAAAAAATGACCAATTATGGCATTGATGCTTACATTGTAATGAGTGAAGGTGACCATCAGGTAAGTTCTATTCTAGACAAAAAAAAAAAAAAAAGCCTGAAAGCCTAATGCCTAATTAAAAATCTTAGGAAGAATATCCAGCGGCCGCTGATCTGAGGAGATCGTATTTGAGCGGTTTTACGGGAAGTGCAGGAGATGCTGTTGTGACAATGAAGCAAGCATTACTCTGGACGGACTCTAGATATTACATCCAAGCGGAAGAACAGTTAGGGCCTTCATGGACTCTTGTCATGAAGGAACCACAGGTGAATGATAGCCAGCTGACAATTTTTATTAATGATTATTCAGGAATCGTGAGATGTGGTCTGGTGTGATGTACGTTTCAGAAAAACATTTATCGTGCCAACATCTTTATTGAGATCATCTTCAGGGCCTGGGATTTACAAACATTGTTTAAATTTAACAAATACATGTAGGATGTGGAAAAAAGTGAATTTATACAAGGCAAAATTTTTTTTATTTATATTCAATCAAAATATTTCTACTCACTCAAAGTGTTTGTTTTCTGCGTAAGTGTACCATTCTTGTGTCATGTTGAGAATGCCAGTGAGATATTGCTGTTTTATGTTTATATACGTTGGATTTTGAAGGGGTGGGGAAGGCCCTGAAGATGATCTCAATAAAGATCGAAACGTTGGCACGACAAAGAAAATGTTTTTCTGAAACCTGCATCACACCAGACCGCATCTCACGATTCCTGAATAATCATCACCTAACAGTCACTAATCACCACACATTTTTATTAATGTATTACAAGTTTTTTTTTTCTGCAATTAGGTAGACCCAATGGAAGTTTGGCTCAGAAAGAATTTGGAGAAGGATCAGAAAGTAGGCGTGGACCCTAAAACTATCACATTTGAAAATTGGAATCAAATTGATTCTCATTTGAGTAAGCTTATAGTTTTTCTTCTTAAGTTTAAACAAAATATATATTTTCCACTGTCTGTTTGCATAATTTGGCTAATTAAGTAGTTTTTGGGATGCAAAATTTCTAAATGTCTAAATTTCAGTATTTAGATAATTATAATTAATTAAGGTTTTTAGTTGAGATAAAAAAGTCAGTGGCACGAGTGGGATTCGAAAGGTGTGGTTGAGATGGGAAGTTGGTGTCCGAGTGGATCGAGGTCACGATAGCTCAAGTGGTAGAGCAGCGGCGTATCAAGCCGAAGATCGTGGGTTTGAATCCCGCTCGTGCCATTGACTTTTTTATCTCAACTAAAAACCTTAATTAATTATAATAGATCAAGCGTTCCACGAAATTAGTGAATATATAGATAATTTTATTGTAAAAGTACTGCCTTTGGTGTTTAAATGTTTACCACAGATAGAAATTAGCTTGCAGCCTCTTTTACTATCACCTGAAGAGAACTAGAAATATATTTTTTTAAATAACATTTTATTAGGTAGTAAATTGATCAAATTTATTCCCCTGGAAAATAATTTGATTGATGAAATTTGGGAAGACAGACCGAGCTATCCATCTGATCCTGTATACATTCACGACTGTAATTTTTCAGGTAAATCATTCTGATTATACAAAATTTCAAACAGAATGGCGTAATATATTTTTAAAATGTCCAATGTAGGTGAAGAATACACTAAAAAAATCAAGAGGGTAAGGGAAAAACTTGCATCGTTGGAGGCAGATTTGTGTGTCGTCAGTGCACTAGATGAAGTGGCTTGGCTGTTAAACCTCAGAGGAAATGACATTTCGATGACTCCTGTTTTTATTTCATATGTGCTTTTGACGCCAAAATGGGCCACTCTGTATACAAGGAAAGAAATAATAAACTCATCCATAATAGAATATCTTTCTAATCCTTTATCGCAAGTTAGGTGAGTTTTGGACGAGTTTTTTTCTTCAAAGTTTTGTTGATTTCTTTGTTCATTTCAAGCGTTAAGCCATATACTGATTTCTGGAAAGATCTGCAGAATGCGATTAAAGAAGCAAAAAAAGTATTACTACCTTCCGGGAAAAGAGGTGGAACTAGTTACGCCATTTATAGCAGAGTACGAAGGAGCAGTTTTAAAACAATTTAATTTCTATTGAATATTTAACTTCATACAAATTCAAGGTGCCAAAAGAAAAACTCCTTAATATCACATCTCCAATAATGGACATGAAATCGTCCAAAAACCGTATTGAAGTCCAAGGCTCGAGAAATGCACATTTGAGGGATGCTGTTGCGTTGTGTGAGCTGTTCCACTTATTAGAAAACCAAGTAAGTCGAGTTAATTACGGTTTAAAGACGGTAATTAACCATTCACTAATTGATCACAGGTTCCAAATGAAATATACTGGGATGAATTGAAAGTCGTGTATAAGCTCCAAAAGTTGAGATCAGAGCAAAAGTGGAACAAAGGTTCAAGTTTCAATGCTATTGTGGCCTTTGGTAAAAATGGTGCTTTGCCACACTACAAACCAACAAAAGAAACGAACTTAAAACTTGACACAGAAGGTCTTTTAACTATTGACTCAGGCGGACAATACTTGGGTAATAAAATTTTTCATTATGTGTATTACAATATAAAAATAAATATATTTTTTCTGTCAGATGGAACTATTGACACAACTCGGGTTCTTCACTTTGGCAAACCAAGTGCTATGTATAAAACAATTTATACAAGTTTATTGAAAGGTTTTACATTTTTGTTAGACTTTAAGATTAAAAGGAGAAATTTTAATTGATGAAAATTTCAAGGAGTTGCTGATTTGGCAACGACTATCTTCCCAGATGGCACAAAAGTATCAGATCTTGAATTTATTATTCGGAGACCGTTGCTTCAATTAGGGATGACATTCGGCCATGGAACGACTCATGGGACGGGGGTTTTTCTCGGTGTTCACGAAGGTACTCATGTTGTTAATAATTTATGAACGTCCTATCATTAAATTTTTTACAGCTTTCAATGGAACCTACCACCACCATTTCATCGGCTCACAAGGTCCGTATAAATTAAGTTAACGTTTATTTACAAATATTATTGAACAACCAATTTGTATTTAGAACCAGGCTACTACAGAAAGGGGGAATTTGGAATGAGACTTGAAAATCTGATTGTTGTAGAAGACGCTCCAGTAAAAGTAAGTTAAATAATTGAAAAAATTAAGCATCGACAAACCCATATATCGGGTTGTCCGGAAAATAATGCAGGATTTTAAGTTTTCATTAAAAAAAATCTATATAAAATATTCTGTTTACGTTTACAGGATTATTAATCCTCTTCCAAATGATATTGTTTGTTTACCTCTGTAGCATTCCGCTACTTGGAAATAATTCAGTCATCCTTATAATGTCAAAGCGAGAATTTCGTACCATTTTCTTTTACGAGTTTAAACTCGGCCGAAGCGGAGCCCAAACGGCTAGAAACATTAACCAAGTCTGGGGCGAGGGTTGTGTTAATGAGTGCACTGTGCAAAGGTGGTTTAAAAAATTTCGGGAGGGAGATTTCAGCCTTGAAGATGAAGAAGGTCGTGGAAGGCCTTCCTCTCTTAATGATGATGTTCTGCGATCAGTGGTGGAAGAAAACCCCAAAACAACTGTTCGAGAACTTGCAGAGCAACTCAAAGTCAGTAAAACGACCGTCGCTGACCACCTCAAGGCGATTGGAAAAGTGAAAAAACTCGAAAATTGGGTTCCACACTCATTAAACGATCGCCAAAAAAATCAGCGCTTTGATGTTTGTGCATCACTTCTTTGTCGAAACAAAAATGACCCATTTCTGGCCAGAATTGTTACATGTGACGAAAAGTGGATTCTCTACGATAACACTAGACGTTCTGGACAGTGGCTCGACAAAGGAGAAGCTCCAATACATTTTCCAAAGCCCCCAACTCATCAAAAAAAGGTAATGGTTACGGTATGGTGGGCTTCATTTGGTTTAATACACTACAGCTTCTTAAATCCTGGCGAAACCATCAATGCTGAATCATACTGTAACCAAATTAATACCATGCATCAGAAATTGGCAGTAATGAAGCCCTCTTTGGTCAATCGGAAAGGGCCCATTTTGTTGCATGACAACGCTCGACCACATGTGTCACGTGTAACGTCACAAAAATTATTGGAGCTTGGCTATGAAACTTTGCCTCACCCACCCTACTCTCCGGACCTCTCGCCTACTGACTACCATTTTTTTAGACACCTGGACCACTACTTACAACACATAATATTCAAAAATCAAACGGAACTGGAAAATGCATTTATTGACTTTATCAATTCTAAAAATTCTGAATTCTACTCAGACGGAATTAATAAGTTACCAACACGTTGGGAGAAATGTATTGAGAGTATGGGAAATTATTTTGATTAAAGAACATTGCTTTAAAGTAACTAGTTTCTTTTTTTTTGTTTAATACCAAAATCCTGCATTATTTTCCGGACAACCCAATACTTAAAATAAAAGAAAAATATGTACTAAAAAAGTATATTATTGAGGTTAAAAATAAAATGAAAATTGAAATGTGCCACTTTTTATTGTTTTATGTACTTGCAAGTGTCACATTTTTGGCGCCAGTAGTTAAAACAATTTATTTAAATTTACAGAATTGTTGTTTATACCAATTTTGTTTTTTATTCAGTCTGTTAATTATTCTAGGACATGGACAATTCTCAGAAACTCTTTAAGTTTTCTCCCCTTACACTTGTGCCTTACGAACCTAACCTTATCGATGTTTCAAACATGGACAAAAGTCAGGTAACGCTTATTTTGTCATAAATGTTTACACGGTGGGACAGTAAAGTATGTGGTTTTTTAGATCAACTGGCTAAACGAATACCACGAACAGGTGAGGCTCCACGTTGGAACTGAGATGGTCAAACAGGGCAAGTCTGACCTCTACCAATGGCTCGTGAAAAAGACGACACCATTAGCTTATAACACGGAGTAAATGTATATTCAATAAAATTCTGACAAGTTGCTTGTATGATTACCTCATAATGTGTTTTAACACACAGGAAAATATGAAGGTTTAGCAAAAAAAATTGCATGAAGAATACATTTTTTTGACAGTCCTCTGCTGAATTCTAACTGGCACTATTTTTTCTCTTTTCTTAATTTTCTAACCTGCCGTTGTTACATAAAATTGTCAAATATAGTATTCTAGTTTTTCTAGTCATCTATTAATGCAATGGAAATATGTTAATTGAGTTGTCTGTTGAAAAGATTTCTCATAACAGCAAACTACAAGCAGTCTTGCTCGCTGCGTATAATAGTAATCATGTCTGCGTGAGGAAAATTAAGCAATTTTGATTATGCGTGGTGTGTGGCTTTGGTATTCAAAACACACTCTACTCCATAATGAAATAATAAACAAATAAATATTATTAATTAAATTACATAAAAATTGGCACAACTCATACAAGAAATAAAGAGCCGAGAGGTTCACAAATAAGGAAAAATGGACTGCAAAAATGTGCTGTCCTGGTATCAATCACAAAACTTCTTCATATTGTTCAAAAAACTGACAGGTGGTGAATTGTATCGCATAGTTCATCTGGTGCAAACCTCTACATTTTTTTTGTTTTGTTTGCTGAAAAAAGTCTAAGGAACCCTGAATAACATAAGTTAAGCCATAATGTGTTAAATTAAGATTGGGAATGCTTATACTTTTAAGCCTTGTTGCATATCACCATAGCATATCATGTGCACATCATTTATCAATACGATATGATGTCCAGTACCTTTTTTCTTGTTTGTCTTTATTTTTTCCCTTGCCTAGCTCTTCCTTACTTCAATGGCATCTGCCAATCAGTGAAAAAGGGGTGGATTAAGAGAAAAAAAAAGTTGGACGTCACAGTATTAGAACCGTTTAGAAAAGAAAAGGGTAGAAAAAGAAAAAAGTGTGTGGTGATTTGTGACCATTAGTCGAAGATTATTCACGATTTTTGAATAAAAGAAAAAAGTATAAACTGAAAAACAAAAAATTAATAAAAAGAAGGAAATAAATGTACAGGTCAGTATGGGTTTGAACTGCTAACGTTCAGATACAAAGGCAAGATGACTGAAGATTATAGCCCCCAGCAGCCTAATGTGGTCCTACTTGGCTTCAAAAATTAAAGGGGTTGAGTCCACCCTCCGGCTTCATTTCCAGTAAATAAATAAACATCAAATAAAGAAAGTAAGAAAGAAAAGATGTAATGCTGCACTTGACTAGTTACACTGAGTACCTAAATAATCAAACTTTAGTGTTTTTTTTTTTTGGTATTGGCATTATAGCCATCAACCATATGACCCTCTTGCCGTGCGCTGTACATCCACATCCCTAAACTTTAGTTGACATTAACAGGGTTCAAAATGTATTAAAATAACACCTTAAACTAAAATTATTTTATTCTTAAAAGGGGACGACCAGGTTGGTGGGTAATGAATTTGGACCAAACATTTTTAGGTAATTCTACACAAATATCAGACATGTATATACCACTTCCATGGATAGGCCTTCATTTTATCATTTTTTAAAAATTGAAAATTTTGTTTTTTTAATATTTTTATTTTGCCTTTCTAGTTGCTCAAATCAACGTTGTGAATATATAGAATCACAAATCTGACAACGAGGTCAAATTTTTACAATTTTCTGACCTACTTTACTTACAGACTGTTTGTTTAAACAAAAATTTATATTTAGAGGTGCTAAAACAAAATTTTGTTAGTTTTACGAGAAAAAAATGTCTGACCTAGTTTACTTGAAAATATTTGATTTTTGAAATTTTTTTGTTATTGATAAACTTTGAACACTTTACTATATTTTTATTGCAATCTACATAAAAATGCTGTAAAATGATATATTCACATAGTTGATTTGAGCAAACAGAAAAGTGGAATAAAAATATTTAAAAAACCAGAAAATTTCGACTTTTTTTTGTTGTTGCAAAAATAGGGCCTATTCACAAGAAGTGTATACGAGTCTGCATAGATCACCTAAAAAAAGTTTGGTAAAAATCTGTGACCCATCAACCTGATGTCCCTTTGTAAGATTAATTTCTATTTATAAAAAAAAATCTCATAATTAAACTTATCTTATTAATCAGTCTAAACCAAATTTAGGTGCTCATGGTGGACCCATGTGACGTAGTAATGTTCTGGATAAAGCAGCCTCAGTCAGCGGATAAAGGCTCATTGCACAAATCAAAAATCTTTTGAGAAATTTTCCATCTTGATCATGGTGGGACTAGCGAATCCAGTTAACCATAATTTCCCTGAAAGGTTCTTTCGGGCCAAAAAACTGCTGTCACTCGCAGTTGCGTCTTTTCCTGCTCACTGTAGGCCTAGTCTGATATTGTAGACTGTCTGACGCCTCTTCAATATTTAATCTATCTTAATAATTGAAAACTAAACTATAAAATTTTTTCTCCACTAAACTCTTCTTAGTGCAGCTTCCCTTGTTTATAGACACAAGGCAAGGTACTAGCTCTCATTTTTTTTATTATTAATTTTTTTATAAACAAACCATGTATAATAACACTCTTTGGTCGTCGGCTCCCCCAAATCTTTTGCATGTTCCTCCTTTTCCTCCTATGCAACTCATTTTCAACCCTAGGGGCTTTTGGCCCCACATTGCATAATTTAAAAAAAAAAAAAAAAAAAAAAAAAAATTTCAATGAATAAAAGAATAGTCTCCCAATTCCAAAACCTGTAAACCCCCCCCCCAACCAGATTTGTAATCAGTGAAATGAACCATGCAATAATGGTAGGCAATGGATCAGAAACTGCAGAGCATGGTTCAACTGTATCCATATATCAATTAATTATTATTTTTCTGTAAGGTCTTGGTTGAGATGAAAAAGTTAATGTCACGAGCAGGATTCAAACCCACAACCTTCGGCTAGGCACACTAACTTTTTCATCTCAACCAAGACTGTACATAAAAAGAATAATTAATTGAAATAAATAATCTGGCCAATTAGACCACTAAATATAAGTGGATTAATATGTATCCATATAATTTAATGTGATGAAGAAAAACTGCCAATTAGCTGAAGATTCTCGTTGCATTTCAATATTTCACCAGTGCATATTTTGACATGGAGTAAAACAACACAGGTCGCACCATGTAAAAAATGATTTGCGATGGCGATACGCAACGATCAAATGTAACAAGTGGATTACAAGGCTTTAGGATAAAACACTGAAAATTCCAAAAGGAAATTATATTCCTTCTCCAAGGTGATGGTGGGAAACTTACGGGTCGACAAACAGCTGAGGTTATCACTGGCCCTCTGCGTGTTTTCCTTCTTTTACGCACATTTGGTTTTAAACTGCAGCCATTTGAGTGTCTTGATCTGGTCACTGACTCTCTGCTTTTAAATGTACTATGTTGATATCCTAAAGTACTAGCCTCCCGTTTGTACCTCAGGTTGTCAAATACAGAAAAGAAACAAAACATACATCACCACAAACATAGATGTCTGGTCACATTCACTTCTCCAGAGTACTTGCTATTCCTCGGGGCGGGTTTGAACCCACTCCATTCTCGCTAATAACTTTCTTTTACTCTCCAGACGTCACTCAACCCAGAGTACTCAATATTCCTAGGGCAGGGTTAAACAACCCCTTCCTTTCACACTAATAAATTAATTTCATTCCAATAAATTAACGTAAACACAACACTAGATAGAAATACATTTTTTTCTTTCCAAAAGGTATTTAAACTGAGAAGGCTGATCAATCACCAAAGAAAATACTAGATAGAAACACAGAAGTCTAGTCACATTCACTCCCCCAGAGTACTCGCTATTCCTTGTGGTGGGGTTGAACCTACTCCATTCTCGCTAATAAGCTACCTTTATTCACCAGACATCACACACTCGCCCCAGAGTATTTGATATTCCAATATTCCTCGAGGTGGGGTTAAACAACCCCTTACTTTCATGCTAATAAATTTCATTCATTCCAATAAATTAACCTAAAGATAACACAGACACAACACAAACACTTTATACATTTCAAAATCCCTATAATCTGTGCCTGCTGCTATGCCCCAAGACTACGCACAGGTACGATGATATACCAAAATATTGTCTATATACGACAAGCCTTCAACAATTGAAAAGGTGCTTGACTGTTATTCTATTTTTGCATAAGGGGCACCTACGCGGTCGCTTTCCAGCCAGAAATTGCCCATGCGTTATTCCTGTATGCCCTATGCGTAGTCTTGTCAGTATGGCCTTTTCCCTTTTCGAAACATTCTCTGTGGACCAGGGACCGATGTCTTTCTTAACCTGCCAGTTTAGCAGAGTTATTTTAATTCTAACAGCCCAGCGGTTTTTCCATTCTCTTTTTATTGTATTTGAAATTAATAGTCCGCTGGGCGTACAGGTTGGGAAGCTTCTTTGGCTGCCCAGGTAATGGTCTAAAATAAGAAATTATATAAATGTAGAAAGTTTATTCATTAAAGTTCCATACAAGAACCATTTATGTTTGCCCTTTTGAAATGCATACATTACAAGGAAAAACATTATTTTTCAATATGAAAATAACGTAAATAAATAAAATCTAATGTGCAAAAAAGTATATAATTGTATAACTAACTGTTGTGTTTGGAATTTACAAGATTATTAGATGCCAAGCAGAATATTTACATAATTAATATACAAACTGAATGAAATTTTGCCAAAATTTAAGACGACTCTCTTTGTTTTTTTAAAGCTCATGATAATTCTTTTTGTTAAACCATCTATCGATACCAACTTAGTACAGTTAAGTATTTAAAAAAATGTTAATCTATTCTAAAATAACATGCTATTTATTTGAATCAACTTAATTATCTCAAAATTGCAATTGACTAGATTTGTACTTGAAAACTATTTTTATGATAAAATAAAATGTACACATTTAAAAGGGAGCCTTGAAACTGTACTAAATCTGGTAAATGATGAGATTTTTAATAAATGAAGGTAAAGAAATACCTCTTTTGGTAGATTTCCTTGAATATTAATTTTGACTGCTTAATGCCTTTTGTTGAGCTAACCTTCCAATGAGCTCATAGTCAAAAACAATTGAAAGACTCTCAAAGAATGATTTATCATTCAACAAACCTCGGATACGATCAGCGGTCCACTTCCAGTGGGATTCATCAGTCTGAGCGGTGAAGTTTTGGAGCTCGATCGTATGCTGTGTCGAACAATCACACATTTCTTGTGAAAATTGAACATTTTCATCTTTGAAAGATTTCATCTCTGTCTGCGAGAAAGCATCAATGTTGTCAGGGCAGGTTTGTACATAAATATCAGTCTTCAATGGGGAATCAGTTTGACATTTCTTAAGGGCTTCATTTGTTACAACTTCCTCTTCTTTAGTTAGATCTATTTCTTCAACAGTTGCCTGTTTCTCTAAATATTCCTGAAACAACATTTTGATACTCATCATAAACACAAGTGACAAACTAAAAATAAAATTAATACCTTTAAGGCTTTGTAGAGGGTTGGAAGTTTGGGTTTATCAATAGAAAGTGTCTCAATTGAAGGATTTGTTAAAAAGGCCAATTCGCCAACTTTTATAATCCCTAATTTCATCAATTCATTTTCTAACAAATCACTGAAAACAAATATAAAAGCTTAGAACATGTATCAATCTTACATCATCTTAAAATTAAATATATAATTACCAGTTACGCATCGACGAAAAAAGTTCTGAAACAGGCTGCACACAGTTTTTGAGATTTGGCAATGTCTTTAAATCGTATTTTTCGCCTAAGTCTTCTTTTTCTTGAGATAAAACGTCTTCCTCAGATTGTCCACATTCCAACTGCTCTACAGACTGGCGTAGCTGTGCACATTCTTCATCAGAAGCTGTGGAAGAATCTGACAGCTCCATGTTTCCTGCGGTGTCGGATGAAACTGGAGATTTGTTATCGTCACAAGATGGAGTCAGATCATCAGTTTCCTTACTTGCTTCCTTGGTAGGGGTTTCTTCACTAGAATTGATATCTATCATGTCATCACCTTGTCTAATCCACACTGGTTTCTCACCTTCAATTAGAAAATAAAATAATTTGTTTGTAATATTTATATTATTGGGGGCCCGGAAAGTAAGGTCGTTTATGCCCATGCCAATATTAGTTTGCCATTGTATACTTCAGTCATTCAAAGACATTTTGAGGTTAGAATGACTTGTTTATCGTAAATAATAAAATCTTAATTTTTTTTGCAATTTATGGTCAAACGGCTAGCCGAATACCAGCAGAGGTACATATCTGGTATTGTATGCTTTTTGCGTATCACAACAGTTGCTACCAAAAACATTCACGATGTTTATCTAAGTGCATTAGATGTTCGTAAATGCCAAATTTCTAAGTTCAAATCTGGTAATTTTGATGTTTTCGGATTGTTTATGTCAATGTAAACAATTTTATAAAATCAAGACGCTGGAGGAAGAAACATGTCATTTTTCAGCGAGACGTCCTAAAAACAGAGTCGCTCCCTGGTTTTCAACCTGTACGTACAAACGTACATCAGCTGTCTTCAGTCAATTGTTCTCTGGTTTACAATGAGTATGTATGAACGTACCTTGGGCTTTCTACCAGAGTCGCTCCCTGGCTTCCTACAGGTATGCACGAACGCACCTTTGGCTTCGTCTGGCGAGTGGCTCCCAGACCCTCATCAAGATAAGCACGAACTTACGCAACAATCTGGCCCGGAGGACCAATGTTTCGTAGACACCAGCGGGAGAAAGTAATAAGTCAATGCATTAACAAGAAATTGTGGTGGGCGGTATGTATATGTCAATGTAAACAATTTTATTTATTAATAGTTAATAAAAAATCTTATCACTTATCATTTTAAATTTATCATTTAAAAAAATTATAAAAACAGAAAATTTGTAAAAATCAAGACACTGGAGGAAGAAACACGTTTTTCAGCAAGACGTCCTAAAAAACGTCAGTCGCTCCCTAGTTTTCAACCTGTACGTACAAAAGTACATTAGCTGGCTTTTGACAGTTGCTCTCTGGTTTACAACGAGTACGTACAAATGTATCTTTGGCTTTCGAAAGTCGCTCCCTGGTTTCCAACGGGTACGCTCAAACGTACCTTTGGGTTTGTCCGGCGAGCTCTCAGACTCCTATTAAGATAAGCATGAACTTATCTTCTGATCCTCACTGTCGTGAGTTGACACAAGACATATGAACTTACGCAACAATCTGGCCCGAAGGACTAATGTTTCGTAGACGCCAGCGGGAGAAAGTAATAAGTCAATGCATTAACAAGAAATTGAGGTGGGCGGTATGTATATGTCAATGTAAAAAATTTTATTTATTAATAGTTAATAAAAAATCTTATCACTTATTTTAAATTTATCATTTAAAAAAATTATAAAAACAGAAAATTTGTAAAAATCAAGACTGGAGGAAGAAACACGTTTTTCAGCAAGACGTCCTAAAAAACGTCAGTCGCTCCCTAGTTTTCAACCTGTACGTACAAACGTACATTAGCTGGCTTTTGACAGTTGCTCTCTGGTTTACAACGAGTACATACAAATGTACCTTAGGCTTTTGACTGTCGCTCCCTGGTTTCTGACGGGTACGCTCAAATGTACGTTTGGCTTTGTCCGGCAAGTGGTTCCCAGACTCCTATCAAGATAAGCACGAACTTATCTTCTGATCTTCACTATGCTGTGAGTAGACACAAGACGAACGAAAGTCCGAATTATTTGTTTTTTAACATTGTGTATCAACTTTTCTCTCTCTCTCTCTCTCTCTGTATATACAGGGTGAATTGCTACTCGTGCTACAAACTTCTCCAGTAGATTCTTCACCCTAAAATGAACAAAAAAGTTCATATTGTCCATGGTCCGATTCTCAACCATTTCAGAGTAATTTCGCTTTTTATCGATTTTGAAAGATATCACGTCCTGGCGTCGGAAAATCGTGATATCTTTTAATCTAAACATTTCTCT